ATGACAGAAATTACTGGCAGAATTTTCGGGACAGCACAAGGGAAACAGAAATTAAAAACTACCTAAATGATTTTATGGCCATGCAAATGACTAAGGACAATTCAAATTAGATCCCTAGGATGCATCTAGCACATGTAAAGCATGCTAACCATGTCTATACCAAGAAGATGTGAAACAATCGCCATGCGAAAATGAATTTCCTTAAAAAGTTTGCACCATTTAGATTTAGAGGCAGATAATAGCAAGATCTTATGCGGAATTGAACGATAAAATAAATTTAAAGTTTGTATCTAGCTTAAGGTTATCTCACATGCATAGAGGTTTGAGATTATTACAATAGGGTCAAATAAATTTCTTACTTTGCATAACATGGATGTTCCAACAGTTAAATTCCTATACTAACAATACAGAATTAGTCTACTGAAAGGATCCCTCAACAACTCTTCTAATTGACTGGTTTGTAAAGCGAAGAATATTAACCATGATCGTCAATGAATTTACTAGACGAAATGAGAGTCACTACGAAAGATAAAACATCCGAGGGACAGAGTTTACCCCAAAAAGGGAAGTAAGATTGAGGCCCCGAGGTGATCGTTTAGGTGCTTGAGAAGAGTGGGAGCAACTTTCAAGGCTTGGGAACTTTCGTCGGCGATTGGAGGTCTTCCCTGGACGTCGAGACACCAGCAGGAAACTGCTGGGCTTGCCTGGAACAGCACTAGGGGTGACTGGATAGCCACTACAGGGGTTTTGACAGTCAAGTTTTGATTTCCCAGAATTACGCAGCTTAAGCAACCGAACTTTGTCTGACAGCGAAATTCCTTCTATCTTCCAAATTCCTGGACAGCAGAGTGGTCTTTGGTCTTTGGACAGACCCTGGAAAAGCACCCACAATCAGGGTCACAAGGAGTTTGGCCTTGTGCTCGTTGTCGGTGCTCCTGATACTTTGGGCACACTGTCGGCTTTCCGGAGGCAAGACAGGGCCCAGGAGGATAAGTTGCTGGAAAAGGAAAGGGACAGCATGCGGAAGTGAGGGAGGAAGAGTTAATTACCATTAGAGATGGCAATTAAAAAAGGAGAAGAATGGGGAGAGGAAATTAAGGAGTAATTAATGCTAATTCAAATTCAAATTTTTGAATTTGAATTGTCATTAATTGGGAGCATTAAGTGATTAATTGATTTAAATCTGAAATTAAATTTCAGATTTAAATTAATGTTTATTGGCTTAATTGGAGGGACGTTTTACGGAGTAATTAATGCTAATTCAATTCAAATTTTGAATTTGAATTATCATTAATTGTGAGCCCTCTCTAATAGGAAATTTCTTTATTCCAAGGAGGAAGAGAGGGGGCGGTGGGGTTGTGGTGGCGTCGGCCTAAGGATGGCCGGCGGGTGAAGCTGGGCGGGCGGCCAGCGTGGAGGCTGGGAGGCTAAGGGAGGTGCCGGGCTGGAGCAGGGGGGAAAACTGTGGAGAGGGTGGGTTAGGCCGGCGATCGGGTGGGTGATAGTCTCGGCTTGGGGAGGTGGAGCTAGGGGAAGATTTGGTGGGTGAAGAGGGGAGAAAGGAGATGAACAAGAAATAATGAGAAGATAGAGATAACTAACGAACTCACAAAGAGATTGTAAAACCGCGAACCTCGACTCTTCCAAAGATTGACGGGTATTGCAAGTTACCCTCCTCGGGCTTCTCCTCTCATGAACTCACTAAGAGATCAACATAAACTCACTAAAGATCAACAATAACTAAAATTTCATTATCAATAATTCATCATCCCTTTCCAAGAGGAAGGGGAGGGCTTAAATAGCCAAATACATGAAGGAAAATAAAAAGACACAATTGCCCTGGGCAAACATAAAACAAAGCCTCAAGTGAGGGTAGAAATGGAAAAGTACAAATAACAAATAAAATACATCAAAATAAATAGACACGATCGTAGCCGTTGATCTTCGATGTCCTCATCAGCAATATTGCTGATCTTGCAAAGCAAATCGAAGGTAAAAAAGGATGGTCTGTATCATTTAGTTTACATACTTATTACTTTAGTATTAACTTTACTAGTTATTATAACCATAGTAGAGGAGAGCATTTTCTGCAATGAAGATTATCAAACATCGTTGCGTAGTAGGATGGGTGATGATTGGCTCAATGATTGTCTAGTGCCTTACATTGAAAAAGATGTGTTCGATTTGATTCTCAAAGAAGTTACAATGCAACATTATCAAAAAAATGAAAAATATATTAATAAATTTGTAATACTTTTCAATTCATATATCATAATGAAATGCAAGATTTTGTTTTGAATTATGCCTTATTTTAATTTTTTAATATTTGATGAGGACATCAGCAAGAGATTTTGGCGCGTTTATAGAGGAGGCATCGGAGATCGACAGCCACGATCAGAAGCCTTTATTTTTTATGCATTTTATGTATTGTTTATTTTTATATTTCAATTTTCTTATTTTACCCTATGAGTAGTTAGTTTGTTTATTGTAGCCCTATAGGCATTTTAGTCTTTTTTTTTTTTTGTCATGTTGAGGCCTATTATTAAGGCCCCTTCTATTGTATTGGGATGATGTTTGATAATGAAAATTTTGATCTTCTGTTTCTACATTGTTGTGAACTTTGAAAGAAGAAAGAGAACCATAGGTGAGGGTGATAATACCCGTCAGTCTTTGGAAGAGTCGAGACTCACAGCTTTTCTTTTTTTTCTTTTCCCCCCCCCTTCCCCCCGGCCCCCCCCCCCCCCCCAAATCCTCCCTACACCTGTCGGCTTCCCTTCCAACCTTCCCCACCCAACGGCACCACCACATTCCCTCTTCCCTCCTCTAACTGAGAATCTCTCCCCTTGCCGCCACCCCACGCCGCCGGCCTCCCAAGGCCCCCAAGCCGCCGGCCTCCCAATGTCTCAAAAACGCCGGCCTCCCAATGTCTCCAAACCGCCGGCCCCTAGTGCCCACATGCTTGATTTCCACTTCAATTTTTCCTTTAATTCCCTTCCTAAAATAACCTATTATTAATTAGGAAAGTTTCCTATTTGAATTCAAATTAATATTTGAATTTAAAGTATTTTCCTTATTGATAAAATTATTTAGGAAAGCCCATAATTACCTCAAAATTTGAACTTAAATCTTTTAAATTAAAGGGCCCATATACATTGAATCTAGACACTCCCCCCCCCTCCTCATATAACCGGCCCCTCCCCTTGGCTTTTCTCTCTCCAATTAATCCTTAATCCTAATCAAACTTCCCCCATAATTCTCTCTTAAGCCGCTGGCCCCTATAGCCCAATTTGGGATAATTTGGAATTTAAATTATTCACTTTCCCTCTCTTTAAAGATTTTGAAATAAAACTCATAATTTCTAAGTTCTTCACCCCACCTCCCTAGCCCTAAACCCTAGTCGTCCCCTCCCATTCCCTCTCTACCCGAGATCTCCCACCGTCGGTTCCTCCCCTCCCTTCTCCCTTCACAAATCATCGGCTCCTCCAAGGATCCCCAATAAAATAAGTCTCTCATAATAATGGATGGCTGATCCTGAAGTCGACCACGGATTCACGTATGATTCTCAAGGACAAACTGATATCCTTCAGTCGTCATTCTTCAACCCCGATTGGGAATTTTAAGATTCCGTAGAAGACTACGTCGACCACATACTATTTCATCTAGCCGAGACGATCGACAAACAACGACCATCCAGACAGTGGCAACTCGGTGGACGTCCACTTGCGCCTCCTTCTCTAGCTACCTTCCCGTGGATCAAGACCGTCGACGTCCTAACTCTCTTGGTGGCGTCATTTGGGTTGTTGAAAGTCTCTCTCCGCTAAAGTCGTTCATCGAGTGTGAGTGAGAAATGAAACTCTAGGTGAAAGCTCTAAATATTAACCTGTAAATTCTTATTACGACACATTTAGCTTTATTGTATTTTTCTTATATTATTTTAAGTTATTTTGTTCTCCTAAAATTGTGACTGCATGCCAAAGCAAAATGTCAATTGAGAATTCATAGAATTAATTTTTGTGCTAATTAAGTAGCAAGCTTTATGATAATTTTATTATTTCCTTACAATTCTTGTTTGTTTCACATCAATATTAGTCAATTTATATGAAAATTTTGCCCCCCAAAAATGAAAGGTTGGCTCCGCCCTTGACTCTGACTAGTTCAAATCCCCTCATAAAAGAGGAATCATCCCATCCTCCCTTAGTCGATCATGGAACCTAGGTCGTTTAGTTCCCCCTTCTTCAAGGTGAGGGATTGCCGCAACATCCACATGTCATTCACATCAACAACCTTGTATTTCCTTCATCCCCACCAAAGTTTAAGTCTTTGGCAATGTAATGATGCCTTCTTCAAATAATGAATTGGCCCCAACTCATAATCTTGGACAATAGCTAGTCAAAACTATATTAACCAGATTATGCCTCATGATTTATTCCTTTCAAGATTTCTAAGTAACAAAATCATGTGTGACTCTACTATGTAAAACTCTACTATGCACTTCATTTTACTTTCTAATTGTGTGTAGACCATCATTCAAGACAATAAACTATCCTCCTCACTCTCATTCTACTAATACAACTTCCAGCATGAAATGAAAGTGGATGATTTGTTATAAAAGAAGCCAAAGCCAATAAAGAGCGGAATCTTTAAAGTGAAGGATGGAAAAAATATCACATTCTAAAATGTAAACAGAAACATGCCCTATATAGGATTCAGAGCACAAAAATACTGTTATCAGAGAAAACAGCAAAAAAGTAAAAATAGTCGGAATATTCAACTTATTAATTGATCTGAAACCGTCAAAACAATCATGAAGAACAAACAGACATCAATTCCACAACTACAATCGAAAGGACCCGAAGTGTCAAAATAAAAAATAATAATAATACAGAGAACTTTACTGTAAATAAAAGATTATGAACGCAAATCAGACCAACGTATAACATTTCAGGGACAATAATTGAGTTAAATAAATCACCAACAATTGCATTAAAAATAATGCGAACCTGCTGAGCTATTTGGCGAGCGTTCTCTGATAAATTAAGAATCTCAAAGCAGAAGACAGAGAAGTTGAGGGCAAGTCCAAGTCTGGCTGGATTTGTTGGGGCCAGATGCACAAGAGCAATATCCTGTAAAGCACAAATATGGACAAATAACTAATCTATCAACTGAAAAAGGTTAAATAATATTTAAAGCCTTCTGCAAATAACTAATGAGAAAGAAAGCAACAGGTCCATTGCGACCAACAGTCAAATTTTAACAGAAGGAACTTTAATTTTCAAGGAAACTGAAAAAGCCAAAAAAAAGTGGATAAAAAACGCAAGCTTTATTAACTTGCAAAAGGGGGAGCAGCGGGAAAAGCTTCCTTCAGCATAAAATCAATTGCTTTTTTAGTTCTTTTCTCGGTTGAAAATAGTAATTACAAGTTGAAGTAAATTCAGAGACGCTAGTGAAACGAGAAGCTGGCAAGTTACAACTATTAGCATAAAAGGAGCTTTTTCTAGGAGAGAACTATGCAAACCCTAAAAGCAGTACAAGAATAGTATCGAATTTTAAACTATAAGCGTTAACTGAGAGTAACAATTTTGTGGCCTGAAGAGTGGGAAAGGTCTTTAAAAGTTCACATCCAATTTGTTTATTAGAAAGCGACGGAGGTGTTTATTCAATACAAAAACTAGAATACTCCACCAATCCAGCTGAACAAAAAAAGAACCCTAACAAGCCAATTTCCCCCAATCCATACCTCCGCCTCCTTATACGCTGCAATCGAGCGCAACGCAGCATGCTTCCTCCCATCGCCAACCTTAAATTCCGCAAGATACCGGTGATAATCCCCCTTCATCTTAAGAAAAAACACTTTGGCCTCGCTTGTTGAGGCGGAGGGGATGAGATGAGAGCCAAGCAGCGAGATGATTGCACCACAGATTTCGTCGAGCTCAGCCTCAATCCTCTTGCGGAAACTCTTGACGATCTTAGGATTAAACTCGCTGCTGAGTTTCCCCTCTTGCGATTCAACGGAGACAACCTTCCGCCATGAGGCGCGTCGAGCATCTACCATTTTCTTGTGAGCAATGGCAATGAGGTTGCGCTCATCGGCCGCAAACTCACCCAATGAAGATGTCCTCCTCACCATCTCCTCTATGATCCGTCCCATCTCGTCAAATCGCTCCGCCTCCTCGGCAACCATCGCCATGTAAGAGTACTCCTCGCGGCTCAGCGGCGGTGCGCACTGAATACTAGGCATCGTGTTGAAGAGGAACGGCAATGGAAGGGGTAAGAGAGAGACGCCGAGCTCTTTTGAAACTTTGCGTCTTTGTTTGCGGAAGGTGAACCTCCTTCCTCGATTTATAAGGAATCGGCGCGGTCGTCTTCTTGACTTCTTCCTCCGAAAACTCCGAACGGAATGATATAGGATAAAAAGAAAACCTTTTTAAATATAGGCAGATTCGGTTCCTGAATCCAGCTTGGAAAGTGGGCGAACCTAATCGTGGCCGATTCATAGTTAAATTCTTAAAATCTTTAAATTATAAATATTAGAATTTTTACATGCATAACATCTAAAATTATTATGTTTACTTAACATTCAAAGTAGGCTATTTATATATCTACCAACCAAATATCTTTCACTTGATAAAAAATAACACTTCGTCAACTCCATGAATATCCCCACGTCAACTCCATGAATATCCCCACCCTGACCCTGTCTTTCATGCACGAAATTCCTTACTTTCTTCTCCCCTAGAGTGTCTACCCGACCATGCCTTTCACGCATGAAACCCCTATCTTCTTTTTCGCTTTAGGCCTTGCGCTTTAGTTGCGCTTTTTGACTTGCGCTTTAGTTGCGCTTTAGTTGCGCTTTTTGACTTGCGCTTTTGTTGCGCTTTAGTTGCGCTTTACCTGCGCTTTATTTGCGCTTTACTTGTGCTAATTTTAAAATAATATTTTATTAATATCCGGACCTATCTCTGCGTTGGGTCACCTGACCCAATAATTTGCGGTCTTTCACGCACGAAATTCCTTACTTTCTTCTCCCCTAGAGTGTCTACCCGACCATGCCTTTCACGCATGAAACCCCTATCTTCTTTTTCGCTTGAGTGTTTGCCTTTCACGTTTGGAAGAGAGTGTCGCCCTCCTCCATCTTCATCCCGTGCGAACAATCTAACCAAGCGGAATCTTTATATGCATTTTCTAAGTTTTTGTAGTTTAATATTTAAATGTAAATAATTTGATTTAAGTGATACTAATAATCTCCTATTCTCATTATTATTTGCATTCTTATATAGGTAGGATGGACTACAGTCGTTGGGATCATATTTAGCACGCGACGGTGGTCGAAGGGACTGTCGTCGGTGGTCAAATGGTGTTCAGAGAGACCGTCATTGCAACGGGTGACAAAATTTGGAGGAACCGTTGGCGACAGATAGCGAAGGTTGGAGGTACTATAGTCGACATACGAAAATGGTTGAAGGGACCGTCGTTTGCAAGCTACAGACGTCATATGGACTGTGTTCGATGGGCAACAATGGTTGAAGGGAACATTATCGACGGTTGATAGTGGCCGGAGGGACCACGATAGGTAGGCGTCAATGCTCGGAGGAACCACTACTAGCGATGGGAGTTGGACAAAGGCTCACGTGATGGCCAACCAACATAGGTCATGCGATAAAGGTCTACCAGTAGCGTAGTGGTGGTGAAGGTTTGTCGATGGTGGTTTTGGGGTGCAGTTTCAAGATGATTCAAGCCTCATAGCTCTTTTGAGTTTCTAGTTTAGTGTTTAAGCTTCCAAAAGTCAAAGCCATCTCTTTTGTTGGAAGAGGGATTATATTTATAAAAATTTGAAGAGCAGCAATATTTCATAGATATGGAGAAGATCTATGATAAATGCAGAGTACTCCATTAGAGGGCCCATACTGATTACTTCAATCATGGAGCGCTCATTAAGCATTTAAGTGCCTTAATGATGTCAGAATTAAGCAATCTTGAGCTAGTTGGATTTCTCTCATTAAGCCTCTCGATTATACTATAAGATATTTGACCATCTAATTAATGCTTTTAAGCTTCCAAATATGCTTAGGTCCTTGATTTGGGCCCATTTGGGCTCGGATTGGACCAATTTTGGTGTCGTTGGATTCGTCTCATTGATAAGTTCCAATTGACTATAAGTTCCCTAAATTTGAAGTTTGGATGATCCCAAATTTAATTTTCATAAGTTTCCAATTCATATTAGCATCAAGATCCGCACCTAATTAAAATGATTTTTTGAGACATAACAATACTAACTTAATAAAAGATGGAATAAAAATATTTTGCGGTATTTACGTATATATAAATCAAAATATTAAGATTTATATATTTAACACATAAATTTGATTATTAATATACATAAGATTCAAAATACCAATAAAATAAAAAATGACACATCTGTTATCATCACTTCACCATACCGCCTGATCTCATCGCCCTTTGTTGTAAACTTTTTTGCCATTCACATGTTGTGGTCATCGCCCTTCTCACTCTCGTTTAATTTACACAACACCAATCTGATGAATCTCCCACCCCGACCATGACTTTTCCTCTGTCGATGCCTTCTCATTCATCCCTATTATCTTATACATTATGTTTAGGTCTCACTGAAGGATAATTATCTCTTCTTTCATGACAGTCTGTTTGTAGGACTCGTTCAAGAGCTGGGAATGAGCTTATCAATGGAGCATGGCAAATCACCTTCTTCCACATCCTCCAAGCAGTCGCCCTCCCCGACAAGGGCGACCACATAAGTTTCTCTCTGTTGGACAAGTCTTTATTTATCTCAGTTAAAGTCAAGTATTCTATGCGAGGCTTATCAAAAATCAAGCTGTAAATGCATACATCTTTTCCACAAAAGAGATCCTTCATAACTGAATCATCACCAAGCTCAGAGATCTACATCAAGTCATTACTCACCTCCTCTCGCTCCAACAGAGTGACATGAGACCAGCTTCATACCTAACCTCGACTCGATCTCTATATTCCATGGTTTCACCTTACCCGCATCCTTTCTCATAAGCTCGCCACACCACTCGTCCCAGCCAACCGAGCTATATAAAAAATTAATAGTATAACTACTGTATTCTGTACATATTCTATTGTAACTCTCCAAGTCCTATAAATCAGGGAGGCGAGATAGATGAAAGGAATGGACAAACGACAAAACAAAGAGAGATACATAGAGAGATATTGTGCCAATTTTTCTTTTTCTAGCACGAGCTATGCATGATAGAACCATCACTCTTCTTATTCTTGTATTTCTATCTCGGATAATAAAGATTCCATCTAAATTCATCTTCTACTCTCTTACTCTTTCTCTCCCTCCTCTCCGCCTTCATCATTCTCACCTATAAGAGTAATTATTAGGTCGGGACCTCTTTCTCTCTTTCTCTCTCTCTTTCTCTGCATTATTTTTTTATAATTAAGATGAACTTAAAATGAGTATATTATTAAAAATTTAATAAAATTTATTGTTGTATCAGCATCGATTAAGCATAGATATTTTTATAAAAGTTTATAGGCCAAATCAATAGTGAAGATATTAAAGCCATCATGATTCATGAACAAGAAAAACTGTTAGGATGATTGAATACAAATACATTAAAATTAGGTTTATCTACTAATTTTATATGTTTGAAGTGATCTATTAGAAATTTTTTTCATATATTGAGATTGAATAAATTATTAATCTTATAAGCAAAATATAGACCGCCTTACACCCAATTTGACCCATTAAATTGAATTAGTAATAGCTCAAATTATTAAAACATTAACTATATACAATTTAATTGATATAACAATAGATTTATTTTTTAATTAAAAAAATTATCATCATAAAAAAAGATAATTTAAATAAATTAACTATTAAAATCATATTTATTTATTTTCAAAACAAAAAATATTTTCTTAATTTTGGACTCCTTCAAAATTATGACATTCTCATCATTGCTATTTTACTTAATATATACTTGTTGCGTCCAGGAGTATTCGCGGCGGTAGAGAAATATAAAGTTTATCGTCTTAGCGTTGTACGAAAATTTGGCACGCAATCAGATAAGAGAGAGGGTCTAGCATTTATGAGACACCAAGATTTTTTACGTGGAAAATCCATGAAAAAAGGGGGAAAAACCACGGGGCCTAGCCCAGTTTGAACGAATCCACTATTATTTGCAGTTTATTACAAATGAGACCCTTCCTTGGGAGAAGGCCTTAGCTTGATGTACATCTTATAGAGTACATTACATGATGTAAATACTAAGAGCTACTATTGACATATTCGCTTTATTGGAAAAACTGTAGTCAGTGGACGACGGAAGTCGGGAGGACCGTAGTCAGCTGCGACGGAGGTCGGAAGGACTGTAGTCGGTGGGCGACGTAAGGCAGGAGGACCGTAGTCGGCGAGCGACGGAGGTTGGAAAGACTATAGTCGGCGGGCAACATAAGTCAGGAGGACCGTAGTCGACAGGCGACGGATGTCGGAAGACTGTAGTCGGCGAGCGACGTAAGTCAGGAGGACCGTAGTCGGCTGGCGACGGAGGTTAGAAGGACTGTAGTCTGACGACGAAGATCAGAAGGACAACATTTGGTAGAAGTCCAACAATGGAAAGAAATCCATCTTCACGTAGACGTCCAACGAAGTCCGATAACCGGTAGAAGTCCGGCGCCGGGTAGAAACTTGGCGAAGAGTGAAGGTTCGACGTCGGGTAGAAGTCTGACGTCTGTTGGTGGCAAAAGAGAACTCCGTCTTCACTTGGGAGGAGTTTCGGCGTCATGAGGGAACTCTGTTGCAAATTGGGAAGAATTTCAGCATCATGTGGAAGTTGGTAAGAATTCCTGCATTCTCCCGAATATCACGCAGAATCCCGGCTTGTTCGAGCGACAGGAAGAGCTCTGGCGGTGGTCGAGGAGGAGGGGATTCTCCTTTTCCCATTTCTCTTCTTCTTCCCTTCTTCTTATCTCTCTTCACTTGAGTCCCCCTTGTAAAGAATGAGGGCTCTATTTATAGTTTTTATGGAGTGGCAAAGCCCGTAAATAGACGTGAGATCATGGGCGAATTGAGAGTGGTTTGAATGAACGGTCGATATCAAATCCTTTGATCATGCACCGTTCGTTGGACATTTGAAGGCCTTAATGATGTTGGAATTTGGCGATATTGGGCTCGTTGGATTTGACTCGTCGAGCCGATCGATTCGAGTATAAACTCGTTAAAATTGGAGACCGTTTGGTAACTCAAATTGTGGTTTAAACCTCCCAACAGCGCTTCAGGTCCTTGATTTGGACTCATTTGGGCTCGGATTGGGTCGAATTTGATGTCGTTGGGTTCGTACTTCCGAGACGCTCAGTTTGACTATAAGATTGCAGAAATCAGAATTCGGGTACTCCCGAAATTAAATTTTGAAGTTTCCGACTAGCTTTTTGCCTCGAGATTCGTGCCTGATCTAGATAAATTTGTGATGATACATCAATACTATATATCTATGATACATCTGCCTTTAATTATTTATTATTTTATAATTTAATATAGCAACTATGTGTTCAATATATATATTAAATATATACCCTGAATTAATTGTAAAATTTGTTATTTAAATTTATAAAAATTGAGAAATAAAATTTTCCAAAATAACTGCTTGTTAAAAAATCCTTTAATATTAAATTGAGTGTTTTCCTTCACAAAATTTATGAGAGGCAGACCTTAGGACTGGGATATCGTTAAGATGGAGTTGTGCTGCACTCCGCGAGCTCTCTTATGGCTTTCTCGTCCTCCGTCGTCGCTGCTCCCTCGCATTTGCTCCTCTCTGACCGCACGCCCTCGACCCTTTCTCTTTATGCCCAAATCTCTCTCCTCTTACCCCAAACCAGGTATCTTCGAAAGAACAATCGAGGAATTTCTTTGGTTGTGCGTTCCTTTCATTGTTTACGATGCTTTCAGGGTACTTCGAGCAAAAACCCTAATTTCCTTTTTCTTGCCTCAGAATTACGATGCCCTGGAGCTGCGGACTCAGAGGAAACATTGACCTTTGTGTCGGAGAAATTGGAAGAGCCTGTGTCGTCTAAAGTGGGGGAAGTTTCCTTCGATGCTGTTCCAGTTAATGAAACCTCGAACGTTGTAGGGCAGAGCGAGAGCGGGGATTTCTTGAGTGAACCTGTTCCAGCTGATGAAGCCGTGAGTGTTGGAGAAAAGATTGAGATCGTGGAGTTCTTGAGTAAACTGAATCTCAAGGTGAGCTTAGTTTAGTGAATTTGTAAGAAGAAGCGCTGCGGAAATATAATTGTCATTAGACGTTTTCCAGGCCATATCTCGCTTGCGCAAATTGATATTAGCAAAGGAACAATTCAAATGAGTAGATTTTGGAAATTCAAATTTATTGGTTATGATTGCATTAGTGCATATCGAGTAGATCCATATAGGCCTTTTGGCCCTTTTGGTTAAGCCAAGCCAATATAATCCTCTTAACAATCAAAAGACAAAAATATGTCACACTGGAAGCAAAAATAACTGTTGCCACTGAGTAGCTTTGTCAATCTCCCGATTGAAATCAAATTGCAAGTCAAGAATATACAGAACATTAGAACATTCAGCATCATTAAGTTTGCCCCCAAGCTCTCAATGCCCATTATCTTGGCATGAATGGTTCTTCCATGTTAGACTCATATAGAACTCTGCAAGTTCATGTTCCTTAATCTGTTGAGATACTGCAAGTTTCCATTAATAATCAAAGCTTTTGTTTTTAGTATCCAATACACAGCATTTTTCAAAGTGAGATGTACCAGACAAGTTCATCCGGGGCTTTCATACTAAATAATAGAGCTATTAGCCATTGATATTTATCTGTTATGGGGGTCTATATATATCTGATCTAGGTTCGCTGACCTAAAGAAGTCTTGGGGTGAGGATTTTTCATTTTTAACATTTGTTTTCTACATCTTCAAGTTTTTGAGCTATTATCCAAAGAAAGGAGAACTATCTCTTAGTTTTGGTGCAAAGACTTACCTAGCTTGGCTTACAATTGTGTCGAAGTCTTCTTTTGGTGAGGGCGGCGTATGATATTCTTCATCTGATTGTATGCCGGGGATAGGTTTAAAAATTAAAATGTTGAAAAATAGATGAAATCTAATTCAAATATAAAGAGGGAAGAAAAAACAAAAAAAAAACTTGAAAATTTTATATATGATTATCCTAATAATGGCTACATCATGTTGCGACTGTTAGATATTTCACTATTTTTGCGAGCTAGAATTTACGCCGCGATAGAGTTAAAAGTTTTTGTCTCTGCTTTGTACGGATATCCAACACATAAACAGGGGAATAAACATCATACCCTAGAAAAGGGAAAAACCACGAGGCCACACCCAGTTGAAATGATTCCACAAATGTTTGAATATATTACAAATGGTTGATCCGTCCTATTTAAATGACTAGATTACAATAATCAACCGTCGGGTTGAAATCTAGTGACAAATAGAGATCAAACGGAAGTTCGATGACGTTCAGTGGTCGAACAGAAATCTGGCGTATGTTGGCAGCCAAGAGGAAGTCCGCCTACGTTCGGTGGTCTAATAGAAATGTGGTGTCAATTGGCGGCCGGGAGGAAGTCTGACGACGTTCGGTGGTTGAACAAAAATTTGGCATCAGTCGGCTGCCGGGAGGAAGTCTGACGTCAGTCAGCGGCCGGGCGGAAGTCTGGCGACAATCAGTGGCCGAAAAAAGTCCGGTAGTGGTCGAGGAATCTGGTTTCAAGAGAACTCTAGCTTCTCTCTCTTCCTTGCTTGGGTCCCTTTCCATGAGAAATGAGAAGTTTATTTATAATTTTTTGAGAGTAGTATGACCAGTAAATAGGAGGGATATCAAGAGGAAGTTGGTAGTGGTTTAAATGGACGACTGATGTTGATTCCCTTAATCGTGAACTTGGGCTCGTTGGATATGTCTCGTCAAGCCGCTCGATTCGACTATAAGCATGTCACTTTTGGAAATCATTTGGTCATCCAACTTATGGTTTGAACTTTTCAAACGTGCTTCGGATCTTTGATTTGGACCCATTTGGCCTTGAATTGAGTCGAATTTGGTGTCGTTGGGTTCATATTTTCGAGACGTTCAGTTTGATTGTAAGTTTGTTGAAATCGAAGTTCAAATGGTCATAGATTTAATTTCAGAAGTTTCCAATTTGATTTTTCCTCGAGATTCATTGCCGATCAAAATAATTTTTTGATGGCATATCAACTATAATTGAATTGTGAAGAATCATAACACTAATTCTTTTGATGCAAGCATAAGACACAGACCTCAACAACAACAACAACAACAACATCAAGCCTTTATCCCACTACGTGGGGTCGGCTACATGAATCCTTTTTCTCCATTGTGTCCTATTAAAAGTCAAATTCTAATCATAACACTAATTCTTTTGATGCAAGCATAAGACACCGACCTCCTCTTTATAAAAATATATATATAAGCAATAAAAAATATAATAAAATTCTCAAAATGCCTGCTAAAGCTGCCTTATGACTGAGGGTTCGTTTGGGGCTTTCTTAATGCCTTATAAAACATGTGTTTTAGTTAAAAAAAAAATTGAATTATAATTTTTTGTATTAAAAAATCGTTTTAGAAAGCAATGAAAAAGCTGTCCCAAATGTAGCCTAAATCTATATAGCATGTCTTTTTTGTTGAGAAAAAATTAGGTTCCACAATTTAATATAGCATGGTTTTCCGCAAATGGTAAACTGTTAGCATATAGTTCTCTACTTGCACAAATAAAAACTTAACACTGAAATGCTAAATTTTTGTAATCTTTTTAGAACTCCCTCCCTCAAGGCCTCAATCATTCTTGTTTGCATTTAACTTAGCTGGATTCTCCGGACTCTTACTACCTCCTCCTGTACGGGGCTGGCGCTCTGCTTGCTCTGTGGATAACATCAGCCATTGTTGGTGCAATTGATTCCATTCCTCTGGTATGCTATCTCCCTTATGATTCTATGATATACAATTACTGAACCTTCATTGATTGTTTTACCAATAAAGCTCACACTTGTTGTACTAAATGCACAATCTTAGTTCCCAAAATTGCTGGAATTGGTTGGCATTGGTTACACAGCCTGGTTTAGCTACCAGTATCTCATATTTAAGGTAATTTTGTCAAAGTATGTTCATTGAGGTTTCATGTGAGCAAGTTTGATCTGATCTGTTGGTGTTTGCAGAAAAACAGGGAGGATTTTTTTGCAAAAATTGCAGATCTCAGGGATCAAATTATTGGGCAACCTGACAGGGAATAGTTGTTCGGTACATGCTTGAAGCCTTCTTTTTATTTGTTTCTGTTAATATGCTGAAGTATATATGAGCTGTTTGTTACTTTGTAAGTGATGAAGCTTTGTAACTGTTCACCAATAGTAATTTCTGAAATTCCAATTATAGATTTTATTCTTGAATTCTCATGTCGTTGTAACCTAAAAATAAATTTTACTTGTTTTCTTTGTATATTCTTTGAGATATTGGGAAGTTTGCTTTGTTTTGGAAGTTTATTAATTTCAGATTTATGATTATGCATATATTCTATATGATATTATAAAAACTATTTGTTGATTAACTTCCATCAATCTTTATGATAATTTGTTTATTCAATAAATATAAGAAAAATATACTTTTTTTTTACAACAGATTAGAAACTCATTTAAAACTCTTATTTATCGATTTCTTTGGCAATCAATCAAAATCATTTAATATAAGAGTGAGTAATACTTTTTAAGTCCTTAAATTTGGTCAAAATGGGGTATAAATGGAAGATAATTATGCTTTAATAAATTTGTGAATTTTTTATTACACTTGTGCAACTTTGGAGGAAAGTTAGGTTTTGTTTATGATAGTTTTAGTAGTGCTTTTTAAAACGGTCTTCTAACAAAAAAATTTAAATTCAAGAAATTTTTGTATTAGAAGCTATTTTAGAAACAAAAAAAAAAAAGATTCCAAATGAAGCCTTAGGGCATCTCCAACGGATACGCAAACGCTCGTTTGCCGTGGAGAAGTTCGCTCCAACGGAGCGCGAAATCTTGCGGCATAACCTCGCCAATGATGGCTTTTTTACCGCTTCTTGAAGCAGTTTTTTAGTATAAAAATTTTAATTGTACTAGAAAGCTGCTTCTTGAAGCAGCAAAAAAGTCATCCTAAAAGTCTATCTAGATAATGTCAGAAGCACTTATCGGATGATTTTAGTTTGCACTATAGTAACTCAATTGAAATTTAACTCTATGTACAATATTGGAAAAAATCAACTCAATCACATTCGAATCAACATATCCCAACGATTAGGTTGAGGTGGGCTTAAGCGGAAGTTGCCCAAAATACATGCAATGTTAATTAGCTCGATGATAAAAGAACGGCTTCAAAATAAGTAGAGAAAGCATTGTGGCTAGCCAAAATATTGCGTTTGAGAACGCACTTCATAATACTTTGTAAGAACATTCAAATCCCACGTAGATACCCTACTCCAAAACTGGTGACAGCAATACCGCTCATTCCCATCCTTCTTCGTTCTCCCATGGCATCTCATTCTCTTCGTCGCAAAACCTCCTTACCTCCATCATCATCGTCATCTTCGTCACCTTCTCTTCCATGGATTTCCCCTCTCCAATACCTTAAACCCACCTCCCAGCATCCATCTTTGCCGCCGCCGTCGCCGAATTCGGCAGACTCGGCCACCAGAGTCCGCCGCTCTCGCTTTATTTCACACGCCGACGCCGTCCGCCTAATCACCCGGCAACCCGATCCCCAGCAGTCACTTGACCTCTTCAACTCCATCGCCGCCCAATCAGGCTTCTCCCACAACCACTCCACTTACGCCGCCCTCCTCGTCCGTCTCGCTCGCGCTCGCCTCTTCCCCGCCGTCGACGCCGTTCTCCGTCGAGCCGCCTCCGAACCCTGTCGATTCCATGAATCCCTCCTCATCTCTCTCATGCCCATGTTCTCCCGCTCCTCTCTTCATGAAAAAATACTCGAAGCCTTCCACCTCATTCTCCCCATCACTCGCACGAAGCCATCTAATAAAGCTCTTAGCACCTGCCTCAACCTCCTGGTCGAAGCAGGCCGCATTGATCTCATAGAAAAACTCCTTTTTGATGCCAAAACCAAGTTAATGCTAGAGCTCAATACTTGCACGCTTAACATCCTCGTTAAGCTCCATTGCCGTGCGGGTGACCTCGCCTCTGCCTTCCATTTGATCGAAGAAATGCGTCAATCGAAGTCCTCTACCCCCAATTTGATAACTTACTCTACGCTGATCGGTGGGTTATGCTCTGAGGGACGTCTCAAGGATGCCTTCCAACTGTTCGAGGAAATGATTGAGAAAGACCACATCGTGCCTGATCCACTTACATATAATTTGTTGATTCATGGGTTTTGCCGGCACGAAAGTGTGGAGAAGGCGAGGACAATATTGGGTTTCATGAGGAACAATAACTGTGAGCCAAATAACTTCAATTACTCCACGCTGATGAATGGTTTCTGCAGGGAAGGAAGGCTGGAGGAGGCAAAACAAGTTTTTAATGAGATGCAGAGTGTTGGGCTGGAGACTGATGCTGTGTGCTACACAACATTGATAAATTGTCTTTGTAGGGCTGGAAAAATTGATGAGGGGATTGAATTAGTGACAGAGATGAGAGATAGCGGATGCGAAGCTGATGTAGTTACATACAATGTGTTGATTGAAGGATTGTGCAGGGGAGGGAGAGTTGGAGAGGCAATGGCGATGTTAGAGGGATTGCCTCATGAAGGTGTTCGACTAAATGTTGCAAGCTATAGGATTGTGATGAATTGCTTACTTGGGAATGGCGAGGTTGATAGAGCGGTTGGATTGCTCGGTTTAATGCTTGGAAGACGGGTTCTGCCTCATTATGCAGCTTCAAACAAGTTTTTGCTCTTGCTCTGCGAGGTTGAAAGGCTGGTAGATGCCACAGTTGCATTGTTCGGGTTAGCGGAGATGGGGTTCGTGCCTGAGACTGGGACTTGGTTGGCACTGGCTGGGTCAGCATGCAGAGAGAGGAAACTTAAAAAGGCAATTGAATTACTTGATGATTTGGTTGGTGGAGATGCACCTGATTGAGATGCAAGCTTTAAAGGATTTCTGTTAAACTTTTTGGATTCTATTGGGAAGAAATATTGTTTGCATAAGCAGTCAGTATATCTTGCAGTTAGAATGAGAGAAACTCCATGGATGGTCAGATTTGGCAGAATTTTATTCAAGGGTAAGTCCCCTTTTGGTGTTTCTCTGAACTATAATTGATGATGCTATGATATGATGAGTTCAGGAAAGTAACTTATGAGGAAAAGGAAGATCTTATTTCGGCCATGTTAGACTTGCTCGAATGCATTAAATGTGGGGCTAAAGGCATATTTGCAAATTTTCTGTTGGGACTGATTGGCCAAGCAGAATTCAGACTAACAATGCCCCCTTGGAATATATGGCACAAAATACTTCAATTTTAGCCTTCATATCAGGCCTTTGAAGCTGTGTGAAGCTGCAACTAAATAATTTTAGCATGATATGATAGGATAATTTCACTTAAATAATTTGTGTATAAGGCAGGGTAAAACTGCGTGTATCAACTCATTTTCAAACCTCAGGTACACGGTTTTAACAAGAAAAGAATTTCAAAGATGTGTTATATTGGTCTGAGTATTCCAAACTGTGATGGCTCAGGGTGGTCTATCTTGTACATCTACAATCGCTATCATATGGTTCTCAGTTACTGTTTTAGGTTATGATGGTTGAATGGAAGAGTGGAGAGCATATGAGCTATTGAATGAAAGCAAAAATGAGGAAACAGTGGGAGATTTGAAGAAACATTTTGTTGAAGCTGTTAATTCAGTGCATTTTACGGTATGCACTTTAGAAAATAGAAAGCTTGATTGGCATGTTTGGAAATGGAGGAAAATCATTCAGTTAACATGCTAAATTCTGGTAAGTTATTCGTTTATGTAGAAGACTATGCTTTTATAAACCCCGTTAATTAGATTTAAAACTTTACTTCATTGCTATTGAACCTTTCTTTTTTTTTCTGCGGAAACTTTTTGTTTGTTTGACTTTACAAAACATGTATCATATCCCACATGCATCATTTTGCATGAGCAACAATAATTGAGTTTTAAATTGTTAGACCGGCGCCTATTGGACTCATAGGCGGATCCATGGACAGCTGCGGGTGGGCATGCCCACCCTGAAAAAAAAAATTCAATAAGGGGGACGTTTTTAGAATTTTGCCCCCCCCCCCCCCAAAAAAAAAAAAAAAACTTTTTTGCCCTAAATTTATTATTCCCTCCCAGCCACCCCAGCTTTGCCCATCTCGACTCTCCCTTCACAGAATCATTCCTCCATCCCTTGTTCTGTCGTTCTCAACTCGCAAGATCAAGCCCTTCCCTAATCGCAAGAGATCGCAGACTTTCCCCTTCGCAAATTGTAAGAGGTTGTCGGCCTTGGCTTTCTCAAATCACAAGATGTCATCTTCTTGGTTCGCAGCCGGCAACCCCCCTCCACATTCGGCTTCATTGAAGGTAATTTTGCTTCTTTTGACTCCTACATACTACACTTGCTCTATTTCCTTTTCTTGATGGCTGATGCTTCTCTTTGTTTCCTTATATGCAGTGGCATATTCAACCCTTTTTTAAAGGGTTATCAAACTCGATATATATAAAAAAATAAATACAAAAAAAATATATATATATATATATATATATATATATATATATATAATATATATATATATATATATATATATATATATATTTACTAGCAAAATTCAAAGCAAAGCATTATATTTCATCATAATTTATGAAATTAAAAAGAAAAGTACAACTTTTGCATTCTACTTTGTATTTTACTGAAGTTGTATATCAATAACTGTGTAGAATAAATCAACTAAATTAATGATGAAAGTTTGTAATTTCTGCACATTTTCGTATTGACCGTCCACGAGCCTTAAATTTAGAATTCATATTTGGAACTTCAATTTCAAAAACATTACAAAAATGTGACATTTTTTGTAGTGGTCTCGAATAAATGCTTTACTTGTAAATGATTTTTTGCAACAGTCACCAAACATAGTTGGAGTTGATGAGCGAAACAATGAATATATAATGCATGATGATTATCTTTTAAAATGAGTGATTTCAAACCATTAAACTCTCCTCGCATGTTAGATGCTCCATCATAACTTTGACCCCATATTCGATGTATACTTAATGAATGTTTTGCAAGAAAAACTTCATCTGATGCCTTGAATGCTACTGCATTTGTTAAAGAAACATGACTAATACATATGAACTTATCAATTACTTGACCCAACTTATTTACATATTTCACCGTAATAGTTAATTGTTATTTTGTAGACACATCGCTGGATTCATCAACTAGAATGGTGAAGTAGGAATCACCAATATCATTCATGATTATAGACAATATCTCTACAACGATAGAACTACAAATTTCTTTTTGAACTTTTGGTGCAATCAATTTTAACTTAGTACTTGCATTTTCTAATGTAATTTTTTTGACATCTTCATTATGATTTGGAAGAAACTAAAATATTTCTATATAATTCCCTTGATTATTGAAGCTAGATGATTTATTATGCCCATATAGCGCTAGCCTTTGGCGAGTAAGAAATTGAACAGAAACAATAACTGCAATTAACATGATGCGATACTCAAGGGAATTATATAAAACTATTTCTTTTTCTTGCAAATCATAATGAAGAGGTCAGAGAAGTTACATTTGAAAATGCAATTGCTAAGTTAAAATTGATTGCACCAAAAGTTTAAAAAGAAATTTGTAGTTTTATTGTTGTAAAGACATTGACTGTAATCATGAATGATATTGGTGATTCATACTTCACTATTCTAGTTAATTAATCTCGCGATGTATCTACAAACGAATAATTATCTATTGCGGTGAAATACGTAGATAAGTTGGACTAAGTAATTGAGATGTTCATAGGTATTAGTCATGTTTCTTCAACAAATGCAGTAGTCTCAAGGCATCAGTTGAAGCTCTTCTTGCAAAACATTCATTAAGCATACATAGAATACATGGTTAAGGTTACAATGGAGCATTTAACAAGTAATGAAAATTTAATGGTTTGAAAGCACTCATTTTGAAAGATAATCCTCATGCATTCTATATTCATTGTTTCGCTTATTAACTCCAACTATATTTGGCTGTTGTAAAAAATTATTGACAAGTAAAGCATTTATTTGAGATCACTTCAAGAGTCATGTTTTTGAAATTAAAATTTCAAATATGGTTTCTAAATTTAAGGCCTGTGGACGGTCAATACAAAAATGTGCAAAAATTATAAACTTTCATTATTATCGAGTTGATTTATTCTACGCAATTATTGATATGTAACTTCAGTAAAATGTAAAGTAGAATGCAAATTTTGTAATTTTCTTTTTAATTTCATAAATTATGATGAAATATAATGTTTTGCTTTGAATTTTGCTAGTAAAATATATATTATATTCTTTGATATTTATTTTTTATATATATCGAGTTTGCCAACCCTAAAAAAAAGGGTTGGATCTGCCACTGATTGGATCTGTCGGTTCAAGTCTACAATAGGCGGATTACAGTCTGCCTTCTTGATTTTGCCGCCGAATCCTTTGGGTGGGTCCCACCCAAACTAATTAGGAATGGAGAGTGGGGCTGCTAGACCTAAGAAGATGATTGAATTATTTATTTATTTTAAATGGAGGTGATTGTATGCTTTAAGTAGGGTGAGGGGATTAGGGTTAGGATTATGCAAATTATTGTGATTATTTTTGAAGTTTGGTGCTTTGAGCTCTAGCGGCGTCTAGAGATTGGGAGAGATAAATCCTCCTCTCAAATTGAGGATCAATTGTATCTTGCTATTTTCTTTCGTTTGTTTGATTCTTGCAATAAAATTACTGTTTTATCTGATTTTCAATTGAGTTTGTGGATTTCTTCTCGTTGTTTCATCAATATTGTTAGTGTTTATCTGAGATTTTCAAGTATTTCCTAGCATAAATGATGAACACAACCCATATCTATGATTGATTCAAATAACTAAGTATTATTTGCCACTGCATTGACCTAATTGCATGTTCTCTTCTAGAGCCAGATCACATATCTCACAATTATTTGATCTTGATTCTTGATAGTCTTCAGCTAGCTATCATTCGTGGTTCTAGAACGTCAGCTTCTTTGCCACCTTTTAGAAAAATAACTCAGATGCCATTCTTTTTCCATAAGCCAGAGGATCATCTCCAACATCCTTGTGATAATTGACAAAAGCTCAACCATTGCCACAATAAATTGATTGAGAGTGTTGGTGATGATGACATTAGCAGGAGATTTCGACACGTCTATCATCAGAGGAATCGTAGATCGACGGCTATGATTCAGAGTCTTTATTTATGATGCATTTATGTATTTATTTTTTATTTATTTGTGGTTTACTATTGTACACCGAGATGGTTTAGTTCATGATGTAGCTCAAAAGGCATTTTAGTCATTTGCTTCTCTTTTATTTTAAGACCTATATATAGAGGCTTTCACTATTGTATAAGGTTAATGATTGATTAATGAAAATTTTAGCTTTTGGTTCTTTGTTTTATTGTGAGCTCTTGAGAGAAGAGAGAACCCTAGGAGAAAGCCAAGCAACACCCGTCAGCCGCTGGTAGAGGTCGGGCTCGCAGTTTATATCCATTTTATTTTCTTATTTCCCCTTCCTCCTCACTATACCGCCGGCTATCCACCCTTTCCTATCCCCAACTGTCGGCCAACCTTCCCTTTTTCCCCCACACCTGTTGGCCAAAGCAATTAATTTGGATTCAAATGATATTTGAAATTCAAAACTTTTCCTAATTTGTTAATCTATTTTAGGAAGCCCCTCAAATTTCTCCCATCTAAAATTAACTTGGAATTAAATCTAATTCCAACATTAATTGCATCTAGACACATTCATTTATGTGTACAACCCCTCCTTCCCTTTATCTTGGCCGACCCCCCTCACTTCCTTCTCTCTCCCTTTCTTGCCGCTGTCCTCTCTCTCTCTCTCTCTCTCTCTCTCTCTCTCTCTCTCTCTCTCCTACACTTAAAATTTTCCAAATAAAACCCAATCTCCCCCAAAATCCCTCCACCAATAAGAGAATTTGAATTCAAATTCTCCCTCCTTCCCTCTCAAATTAATTCCAATATTAATTGCTACTCTAGGTTAATTAATCAAAGAATTAATTCCCTCTTCGCCTCTTGACTCATCCTACTACCTAAATCCCTAACTCCACAGCTCCTCCCTAGTCTTGGCTGAACCCCTAGCCCCCCTTTCCTCCACCTCTCTTTCTCCCTTGCTTCACATACCTCTCAAGGAAGAAAATACACCAACCCTTAGCCTACTTCCTCATGAATGGTCGATTCCAAACACGATCATGGATTTGTGTATGATTTTCAAGGAAGAGTAGATATCCTCCAGTCTTCCTTCTTCAACCTCAATTTGGAGATCGACGACACCGTCGACGACTACGTTGACCGAATCCTTTTTACCTTGACTTCTGCCATCGAGGAACACCAAATCTCCGGATAGTTGCGAGTTATCAGACATCCACCAATTTCTTCCCCTCTAGTTAACTTATCGTTGGGCAATACTGTAGTTGTTTTCTGTCTTTTGGTGGCATTTCTAAGTTTGCTAAAATTATTCTTCTGTTAAAACCACCTCAAAGAGCGAAGGTGAGGGAACTCAATGTGAAATTTCTATTTGTTAAACGGTAGATTCCTGTTGTTTATGCCTTTAGTTTTACTATAACTTCATTATTATTTTAAATTGTCATGTTAATCTTTCTTGTAACCGCATGCCAAAGCACAACTACAACTAAGAAATTCGAGAATCTAATCTAGTGAAACACTAAGTATAAAATATGTTTCACATCATTTGGGTTCTTAGGTGGAAAGATGACTCCATTTGCTTCGACTTTAATAGAGTTGATATCCTACCCTTCTACAAGGCCACCTTTGGTTGACCACTTCCAAACAACTTTGCAGTGATTGTGTCCACTTATATTGTTGATATACTGTTTCAAACTTAAGGTAAAGTTTTCATCCTCTGGGGAAGTCTACTACAATCTCAAGCACTTTATCTACAGACAGTTGGTTCTATCCAAGAAGAAATCCTTCAACTCGAAGTTGAAAGGGGTTGCCTGTCTTGAGGCAGCTAAGATGATCTAATTGACAAGGATGTTGCAACTACAATGGCCTGATGATTGTGTTATAGAAGTCAGAAGTTGATAAGTAAGTTGATTAATAAATATAGTTGATATTAATGAGCTCTACTATTGAGTTATTCGTTAACTTATCAAACAAGTCTTATTGAGTTCATTAACGAACAATCATATCGAGCCTTATTGAGCTTATATAACGAGTATATATATGTATGTATATACACACACTTTTTATACACTAAAATTCACTTATTAAAATAACTTATATCATATTGGATTTTATAAAATAATTTTGAATCCTCATTCTAACAGTTAGAATATAATGGAAAAATGAAGCAGCTAGCGAATAATCCATTTCAATAATAATAAATGGAAGCCCCAATTGAGCTCAAAACCTAACTAATTCCAAAGCGGTTATGTGAAAGAACATTCACTGATTACAACATCTATAAGCTTGCATAAGGGCTTTTGTAAAATAATTAAGAATATTTAACTGAACATTTAGAGTATAATGGGGAAAAATGAAACAATTAACACATAATCCATTCTACATAAAGAAAGGGAAGCCCCCACTCAAAGCCTGACCAATAATTTCAAAATAATTGTTACAAGGAAAACATTCTTTGATGATAACATCAATAACCTAGCCTAAAGGTTATTGTAAAGTAATCTAGAATCACTAAAACAGCTAGGAGGCAATGGCGAAGACGAAATAATTTACACACAATCAGAGGTGTAAGTGAATGAAGCCTATTTGTGATTCGCTCAGGCTTAGCGCGATAAATGGCTCGTGAGTTGTGTTTGATGAGCTAACGAGTCAAGCTCGAGTCAACCTGATTCGACTCATTAGCTCATGAACCAACTCATTTAAAAAACAGCAATATAAAACACACTTAAAATATATTAGTATTTATGAGTGTAAATACAAAGTTGTTAAAAGTTCCTAAATTTTACAATCACATATCCTTATATCAAGTTATTTATTTATTATTTCCCGGTTTAGGTTTTGTTTGGGAGGGTTTTCTTACTGCTGCTTACAAAAAAGCTGCTTTAAGAAGCAGTAAGAAAGCCGCCCCAAATAAAGCCTTAATAAAAAAAAAGTTTTTGAGTTAGATTCAGATGAATCTGGATTGTCAGCGGTTCGGACTCAGATTCAGCTTTTTTTTCACCTATTTATTATATAGATTGAATTTGAGTTTCAAAAATGATCAATTTTAACTCAAATTTGAAACTCCTTGACACTACTAATAAAAGCTTAATTTTTTAGAGATATTTAGGCCAATTAAGACAAATTCATACACACTTAATATATATAACTATATAAGATTGAAATTCAATATCTTTTAGGCTTAATTTAGGATAACTTTTTAACTATTTTCTAATACTATTTCTAATAAAAAAATAATTTAAAAAATTTTTGTGTTAAAAAATTATTTTAAAAAATAAAAAAAAAATTATCTCAAATAAAATTTTAGTTGATAATCAACTCTCTACCAATAACCAATAGATAAAATTGAGCTGCCCAAAACTTTAATTATAAAAGAATTCGGTGAACAAATCGGCTTCCATCGAACTTTTGCCGGGCATTATTTTGGTACAACTCATTTTACACTGGGCCATCACTGTGCTCACAGTCCTACTGGGTTTCTGCCGCAGTGAAGACAGGGAAGATATCTCCCCACCCAGGTCCGTATCGTCAAGTTGCGGAACCCTATTCTTTCGTTAGATCACTTCGATGGAGATAGATTCACCCGCCGACGAAGTGTCGGTTTCACCGGCGGCGAACACGGAGGTATAATGCCTTACCTTTCTCTTGTTCGCACTCGCTTTATATTTGGCTTTCTTTTTTATTCTCCCATTCTCCCTAGTTATTTTGAAGGGGTCATTGACTTAGATTCATGTTCGGAACTCACATCAATCATTGATTTTTTAGAGTTGTCTTTCAATGCTGCTTGGAGGAAGACCGGAGTTTTTTTGGTATGTAGGCAGCGCGACATAATACCCGAAAATATATTTGTAGTGGTTCAGCGTGCATTTACTGCAGCTTCTTTGTGGTTTAATCAGTGCACGATACTTGTGCATGAACATAGCTTTTTTCTTCCTTTTCTTTTCAATAATTTATGCCATGTTTTAGGGGCTTAAGATGTTTGAGGGTTAGATCTCAGGATTGTTATGATTTCATTTGGGACTAATGTAAAATTAGTCGTAAAAAATGTTTTGAGGAAAATAAAGTTTTTTATTGTTGGTTTGATCTTTATAGATATTTTCCTTCAAAAAAGATTTGAACTATTGTACTCTAAAATATTTGATTTTTAAAAGTTAATTCTCCTATTTTTTTCTTCTAAAAATAGCAAGAAAGTTGGACTTAAATAGGAATGTGACAGCAGTTTCAAAAGTAAAATTGTGCATAGCGTCGCAAATTCACTCTCAGCGTGCTCTATATGCTGCTAATTTTATTATATTTAGACTCTTTTCAAGCTCTTACCTTGTGCAGATTCTCACAGAATGACTCTTGTTTCTCTGCCTAACCTTGTTGTGCCCCGCCTTATTTTTCTCAGTACCATCTATTGGGTTGTTGGTTTGACTAATATGTTAAAGTGAGCAGCTTATGCTCGATTGTCCTTCTTAATGATATATTCTTCATCAATGCATTTTCTGTACTGGTAAATGTTGTTACATAAGTGTAGCAGATCCTGATGAATTTTGACAGTCACAACTTTGATTTTTTCCCCCTCTCCGGGAAGACAAGTTGCTTCAGCTGTAAACCTGTGTTTAGTTTTGGTTCTGCATTTATTCCATAATCTAATTGAGGTAATTTCATCTAAGTATATTCTTGCATGTTTTTTTTGCAAAACTTATAGATGGAAGAGGGACAGTCATTAGACTTGCTTGATGTCGATGCCGACTTTATACCGGAAGATAATTCAAAAGGGAAGTCTAGTTATGATTCAATGAGCATTGATTCTTCTATTGAACATGTGGAACGACTTGACATGAGCATGGAAATGCTAGAAAAGTTCTTCAAAGATGCTTCAAGGGCCTTTTTTAATGAATATGGTCTCGTCAGTCACCAGATAAATTCATATAATGACTTTGTGAAAAATGGACTTCAAGATCTTTTTGATTCCCTTGGGGAAGTTGCAGTGGAACCGGACTATAACCCACAGGATGCCAAGGGTGATGGCGCATGGAAACATGCTACAGTATCATTTGGGAAGGTGAGACTGGAGAAGCCAGTTTTTTGGGTTGAAAAAAATGATCTTGAGGAGCAAGAACTCAAACTGACACCAAAACATGCTAGGCTACAAAACATGACATACTCGTCTCAGATGAAAGTTAAAGTTAGAGTACAGGTAAACAAGCTTATTGCATGTATGTATCATTCATTGCTTAAAATATTATCATGATCATCGTTAGCTTTATCCCAACTATTTTTGTTGTTTATTTATGCATAATTTCAAAATAAGTCCTCACACTTAGGCCAACATGCATGATCTTGAGTAACAAGTTCTTAAATTGTAAGCTTATTGAATCTTTGTATTTGTTTTTGTATATAATTATGAATATGTCACATGCATATATATATGTATGGGTCCTTAATTTTATATGGAGATGAAATTTTTTCTTCTTAAGAGGAGAATTAGCATTCTCCGCACAACTAAAGTTTGATGTTAGTGAAATACATAGATAAAAGTATATTTTAAAAGGTCTTCTACATACAATCTGATCATTTTGTGGTGTTCTCTCATTTTGTTTCTGTTTTCCAATTGCAACTTGTATTCTGATGCAATTTTCTCATGGTGCTTTGAAGCTGATTGATTTCATTGGTCTCTTTTGTGATGGCACACATGGAGGCTTGCCAACCAACCTGGCCAGACGCACGCACACACTCATCATCTCATGGAAGTGTGTTTTGCATATTTATGCGCTATTGAACCTGTGCATGTTCCAAAATTCTTGTGCACAGATAGATGTATTTATTAAATGAAAATAATATTAATTCATTTTGATCATGATCTTTATTTTCTGTAGGAATTTTTTTTGTTGTTGTCTGTGCACATTCATTATATCTACTGACCCGTTTGTCTATAACAGGTTTATGTACATCAAGTAAGTGACAAAGCCAAGACTGGCCAAGATGCAGGTGTCCATAAGAGGGTAGTGGATGATAAAGAAAGTGAGATTGTTTTGGGGAGATTGCCTGTGATGGTTAGGTCAGATCTTTGTTGGCTTCACTCTCAAGATAAAAATGATTGCTTCTTTGATCCTGGTGGTTACTTCTTGATAAAAGGCATGGAGAAGGTAGATATAGTTTTTGAGTTTTTGTGTTTGTATTTTCTTTTGTGGCTATGTTTGCATGTCTAGTCAGAGTTCGTGTGTAAATGCACTTTGGGTGGATTTTTTGTGATTTTCCTCTTTATATAGATTTTTATACGAGGTCTGTGATGGAAATCAATCTTGCAATATCACATAAGAAAATAGGGAAAAAGGTTTTAGGGGTGAAGGAGGTTTGTCTAGGCAAGGGTGGTAGAGGGAGGGTTGGTTGACCTTTTGATTGAATTTGTATAAACTATTATGTCTGCGCTTGTATTTTTTATACTCTTATTTAAATATCAAATAATAAATATTAGAAGGCTTACCATTTACAAACTTCCACTTTTATAGGGTCTGGTTAGGGGTTGATATACGCAATCTTATGCTTGCTTTGTGAAGAGGTTAGTTTTGCGACTCAATCTCGCGAGCTCAATGTCAGAGCTTAATTCTTTTAATATAATATCATTTGAACCATTACTTAGGCACGAGGGCATTAATAACTATTAGTTAGAAAATGATGACCCAAATGATTCTACATTATTTTTACTTAAAAATAATATAGAGAAATCTGAACAAAAATTAGTTGTACTTTGGAGAAATATACTACTTGAACTTCATCTTGCGCACATCTTTGAGAGAAAGAGATGAGATCCTCCCAAGTTTACTACGCCATTTCACCTTTAACAGTTTTTTGGTTGAGTTTATTAGGAGTGCATTATATATGAATGAAGAGCTTTTACATTTTCTCCTACTTGGTTAAGTGAAGACAAATGCAAAATAGTTTTTTAAGGATTTTGAAATACATCCTATAGTATGTTAGAAGAGCTTTTCAAATTGCTTGAAATTAAGTGCATAGGTAATTAATATGATTCAATGATTTTGATTGGTGAAATACTTTTAAAATAATTTGGCTTTTCTTTTAATTTATTATGTTTGATGAATGTAAATGGTTGAATTACTACAAAATATAAAATAGTTTAATATTTTTAATTTTATAGGTTATAGTTAATATTATGCTCTTGAATTTGAAGGTCACACACAAGAGAAATAAAAATAGGAGAATAATGATCATTCTCTTTTTGGGAGAAATGTTTATTTTATTTGTGCTTGTGTGCAAGCATATAAACATGTAAAGCCACACACACGACTGTAAGTTTGTATATATGCATTTTGCATGTTTGTGCAGTCATTCTTTACATGTAATGAGGTTCATATTAATGAGTTATAAATTTCAATTTCTTTTTTTTTTCAATTTTAATTAAACATCAAAGTAGAGGTGATGGTTCTAGTGTTAAAGGATCAAAATGTCAAACATGTAGGCTAAGAGTAATATGCTTAGAAATTGTTGAAAAATTTAACTAAATTGTGATTGATACCAAATGCATCTTTAAATAGCATGTGTTGGATCAAATTTGTTTGCAAAAAGTCACATTGACCATACTGTTAAGACTAGCTAAGGCGATGGATATAGAAAGAGAGAGAGAGAGGTTGGTGAATAGGAAGATGAGCTCTAAAATCTATCTATGCATAATGTACTATTATATTTAATAAAAAAAAAAAGCTCCTAATTACACATCCCAACCCATTATTTATAGTTTTGAGAAGGCTACAATAGAGGTTAAACCTAGAAAATAATAAAATAGTATAATATTTGACTATTACGGAAACATGAAGTAACTGGAATGGATACACATGTCCAGTCATATTTGATATGGATATGGAATTATTCTGATTATGCCCTTGGCGAGTACCTTTGGTAAATATCTTCGGCGAGTGCCCTTAGGGAGGGCCTTCGATGAGTGCCCTCGGCAAGTGTTTCTGACGAGTGTCTCTGGTGAGTGCTTCTAGGGAATGCCCTGAGTGAGTTCTGTTGAGCTGAGTAGTAGCATAAATGAAGAGGTTGTTACCTTGGGGTCGGTAGGTTTACATCTCCTGTATTTTGGATTAGGGGCCCTTTGAGAATGATGTGTTGCCTCTAGTAGGAGATTCTTCCTTTAGGGGAGTTCCTCCTTTGTTCGAGATCTTCTAGGTAAGTTTCTCTCTTAGTTAAACTTGTCTGGGGTGTATGCTTCTTTGATCGAGCTTTTCTTGGGCTTGCTTTACTAGGGTGAGGATCACTTCCGTTGGGTACTCCTGTGGTCGAGCTCTTTTGAGGCAAATGTATTCTTTGACCAAATGCTTTTGAGGCAAATTAGCACATGGGGTTGTACAATTTGTATTTGTGAGTTTTGTTTAATACTGCAAAGGAGGAATTTTTTTTTAAATAAGGTCAAATTTGAAGCCTTAATTATTGTATTAAATTATCCTTATGCTTCTTCAATCCTGCAGACTTTCATTGCTCAAGAACAGAGGTGCATGACAAGACTCTGGATCACTGATAAACCGTGCTGGACAGCACAGTATATGTCTGAGATGAAAAGGAGAAGAGTTTATATTAAACTGCTTGAATCTACTAAAGCTGAAGGTAACAGTGGAGTAAAAATGATCAGTTTGTATTTCTTGTACGCCACAATGCCTATTTGGATCATGTTCTTTGCCCTTGGAGTGTCTTCTGACAAGGAAGTTTTTGAAATGATGGATCTTGAAGGCACCAGTACTGATGTGGTAAACATGATATTGGTGACCATCAGAGATGCTGATGAGATGTGCGAGGGTTTTCGTAGAGGAGATAAAGCTCGTGAGTTTGTAAACAAACTCATTAAAGATGCCAAGTTCCCACCAACTGAGTCTTTTGATGAATATATTGATAAATATTTGTTTCCTGGCATTACTGGATTGCGGCAGAAAGCTCTTTTCCTTGGATACATGGCAAAATGTCTTCTTTTATCCTATATGGGCAAGAGAAAGTGTGACAACAAGGATGATTTTAGGAATAAAAGGCTGGAATTAGCCGGCAAGCTTCTTTCAAGAGAGCTGTGGTCACACATAAGACATGCTGAGCGGCGCATGGTTAAAGCTATGCAGAGAGATTTGAATGGGGATGATGAGCTGCAGTTTATTGAAAGATACTTGGATTCTTCTATTATCACCAATGGCTTAAACAGGGCTTTTTCAACCGGGCAGTGGTGTCATCCTTATAAGAGGACAGAGAGGACTGCAGGCATAGTTGCCACTCTAAGAAGAACAAATCCACTTCAGTTAATATCTGATCTTAGAAAGACACGTCAATCTGTCTTATATGCAGGAAAAGCAGGAGATGCCAGATATCCGTTAGTTGCTTTTCTTTCCTTTCATTCATTTAAAATTTTCTTGATTATTGAAATTTTCATAAATAGAACAAGTAAGCCAGTATGTTTTTATATCAACCAAATTTTAATTTATGGCATGATTTTCTTTGGCACTCTTTCTGATGACAAAATGGGAAATCATTGCATGGTGTTTATTCAGATCATACATTTTACTGTGTAAGGATTCGCTTGAAATTAAGTCAAGAATCATTGGGAACTGCATCAACTCATGAAGCTGGGAAAGCCTGCCATACCATGGTCCTGATACCATCTCTTTTAACTTATTTTATTTTATTTTTTAATATTTTATATTTTATATTTTATTTTGGTCCTGATACCATCTCCTTACCTGTTCCTTCGCTCCCGATATCAGCAGAAGTCTGAGCCCACAATAATACAGCTGAATGTAAAGTGCACTTCAGTCCCCTGACCCATTGGCGATACGTATTTCTTGCTATTGTTTATAATAGGGAAATGGCTCAATTCTGTCCCTTGAACCCTATGCCCTATTGAAGAAATTCCTTGTCATTCTTGGCTCGTAATAGCCTTCAAGTATTTTTATTGACCTTTTGGTATTATGTGTTTACAAGTTAAGGATTATCTTCTATTTTACTAGGCTTGAGACGTGTAGTAAGATTTATGCGGAAAATAAGTCTCTGGTTGACTTATTACCATTACCTAATTGGGTTCTCTTGATTACTTTTCTCTCTTAAATACCAATTATGATAATTTTCATCCTATCAAGCGCTGAAATTAAGTGGAAAAAAAGTTCAACCTTCTGAAGAACTTCATCTGGCTCTTCTTGGAGTTTTTATTAATTTCGTAGCCGAGCATGCTTTTCTTATCCTAGTGCTCTATTTATTTGCTTCTGGCAGTCTTAATATTACTGGAAGTTCTTTTTTTGTTTTTAGAGCTGTTGTCATGTGCTTTACTGTTCTATAATTTTGAATAGCTTGCATTTGCAGCTTTGTTATTACCATGCGAATGAATACCATTTCTGACTAAGTATTCGAATTCATTTTGTTTGTTATGACTTATTGAATTTTGCATATAGGAATCCTTCGTACTTTGGAAGGCTGTGTTTCTTGTCTACTCCAGATGGCGAAAACTGTGGGCTGGTTAAAAATTTGGCAATCACTGCTCTTGTTAGCTTAAAGAAGTCGGAATCCATTATTGAGAAACTGATATCATGTGGAATGGATAAATTGGAAGGGGCTCCTTTCTCATCATTGAGCAAAAGGATTAAGGTATTGCTAAATGGGGAATGGATTGGAGTCTGCCGAGATGCTGAGTTATTTGTCTCTAAATTTAAGCAAAGGCGGCGAGCTGGGCAAATCCATCCCCAGGTTAGCGTCAACCGGGAGGTTATTGGATATTTATTCCCTACTATATTTCACTTGCAAGTTGGTTTCTTTTATAATAATAATAATAATAACTATGACTTTATTAAATAAAGTTTGGTTGTTACTTGAAGCAACATAACCTTTTCTATCAGTTCACACTTCACATAACAAGCATAAATTAACTGAATTTTTAGTCATGCAATCTTTATGAAAAGCGTATTTGTTACAAATAGCCATTGTGAAATATTGAAATGATTGTAATGCAACTATTATCATTTTTTATGAGATATTATGGAACATTTGTAAGAAATTATCCTCTTGCATAATGTTTTTTGTATGTGACGACGATTACATGAACTCCACCATATTGAGGCCATTGTGATGATGATCATCATAAGCCTTATGCAAACTATTTTTGGTTTGCTTCATAAATCTACTTCCATCCCCTTTCATTCTTAATGAATAATACTTGATATTGCTAACTTTATTTTGCACAAATGTTTTCGGACATTTTCTAAATTTTTTTGTATGCTTCTAAGTAATTCTGCATCCCATCCTTTGATGCGTTTCTTCTCTTTGCTATGTGCCAAGTTATTAAAATCTTTTTTCCAATACATATCTTCTTTAATATGTTGATTATTTTTTACTCGCCATCTAGTTTAATTTTTTTTTATTCCAAATAAAAATGAGTAACTAGTAAGCAGCTTTGTTCCTCCTTTCAATATATTTGGTTCACTGTATTGCAAACACAATTGTTGTTGATTGAAAATTAAGTTATCGGGGGATATGTTGCAATGGTTATGCTATCACTATCATTTTATCTCATATTACAAAATCATATCAAATTACTCCATAGTTGTTGGGCTAAATAGGGAATTTATAACCATGTTAGCTTATTTAAGGTCATCTTGGTGGACTCAATGATAATGTATTTGTCAAGAGAAAAAGATATTATACTTATTTTATAGGAGGATTTCTTATTTATAAATAGTAGAAAGATTATATTGTCCTAAAAAAGCACCAAGTTAAGATGGGCATCGGCCATAGTAAGACTACTTATCTAAGATAAAAGATAATACTCATTCCCCCTTCAAGCTTGAGCATATATATTGGTGAACTCCAGCTTTTACACTTTTCTTAAAATAGAAGAGGACTCAAAACTTTGGTGAATATTTCCTACTAGTTGATATGAGGTGAAAACAAGAGGAATAATTATCTTTTTTGATAAGATAACATCATGAATGAAGTGATAATCAATCTCATAGTTTTCGGTTCTTTCATTGAATATTAGATTATTATCTATGTAGATAAGTACATGATTGTGATAATATAAAAGGATATGTTCTGCATTCAAAAAATCAAATTCTTCTATAAATGTTTTGACCAATATCATTTTATGCATGGAGTGTGTCATTCTTGGTGTAAAGGAGGCCTTTCTCTGGGAACCTCATGATATAACTGAGGATATATATAACAACTTAGCCTAATCCTTGCTGTCGTCTTTTTTATCTATAAAAATTCAGTGATTTATCGTAGTTGGTTCTCATTTAAGAACCTAAGCTAAAGGATGACAAAGCGCCGAGTTGTTGGAATTGGATCTGATAACCTCTCGTGCATGAAATTGCATTCGTGTTGGACCTAACCTTCCACCTACATCAAGCCCTATTTTTCCTTGCTTCCATTGGATTTCATCAAAATTATATGCACTTGTTCAATTTAATTAAGTTGCATTTATTTTTTATTAAGATTTAGATTAAGAAAAAAATAATCTAAAATGTGATTTGTCTCTCTTTGCTAGAGTTTTCAATTACCTAAAATTTTGAAAACTTATTTATTTAATGGTAATCATGTCTGAAATTAATTTGAGATATTTTATGGTTTTTCAAAGGTCTATAAATTAAATTTCATCTTATTTTAAAATTATTTAAGCTTAGTCATAAAATTAAAATTATTTAAGCTTAGTCATGAAAATTTTAGATTAATAAATAAGCCATCTAAAGATTTTAAAAATTCATAAAAATATTAATTCATCTCCTATTTCATTGTGACGTTAATAGATTTCGCTAAAACAAATCTTAAGTTTCTCTCAAACAATGTTATGAGTGGGTTCATCATTATTGTTAGATTCGATATTTAGTTCCCGTGAGTGCATCGAATTAGTTTTCAATGGAAAAAAAATGTCAAAATGGTTCATAAACTATTTATGGTGGGCCATTTTAGTCTCATAATACCTAATGATGTAGGCAAGGTGGGGGGGCAAATTGGATTTTGGATTGGTTTTGGGTTGTCCCCTTTAGTGAGCTGCTATGTCATCTACTAAATCAGCTTATTAATGTGTAATTAATGCCAATCAGGTTTCATTCCCTCCTTCTCCCCCTCTCTGCTGCCGTTCGGTTCCCTCCATCTGGCTCCTATCCTGTGGGTTTTTCTTCTCTCGTGGCTGCCTCTGTTTCCGGTACCTGTGGGCATCCGTTCCTATCTTCCGTGGCTGCCTTTTCCTGCCCCCCCTTATGGCCCTTCGGGTTCTGCTCCTAGACCGCATGTTGGCCTTTTGTTTCCCCTTTCCTCGTTGGTTCGGCTGGATTTGTTTTGGGTTGTTTGGCTGCCTCTTTTTACCTATATATATGTGATGTTTTGAAGTTTAAAAAGAGAGATTATGTGATAATTTTTTGACAGCAAAACCTGCGGGTTTCTTCTTGGAAAAGCTTGCGTGGTTGTTCCATTTCTCTTCTCCTCCACGATTTTGTCTCGGGTTTCTTATCTCTTTCTTCTCTCCGCATGTGACCATCTCATTTGTATCTTTCTTTTCAAGGAAATGCGGTTTTAGATGTTATCTTTATGATAAGTTTAAGTTTTATGAGAGTTGTATGGTGTTGAAATATTTTATGATATAAGCTTCTTTTAGTGTTATTTGTATTTTGTCATTTTGTGGTATGTTAAAAGGAAGACCTAGTTCTTATGTATCTTTGTGATATTTTGATTGCATCAATTTGGTATCGGAGCCTAGTTTAGTATTTTCCTAGGTTGTTTGTGTTTTTTTTAAGTGTTAAAAAAATGGAAAATCATGAAGACATTAAGTCTGTTGTGGGTGAAAATCTGCCAGACGATCTTGAATTTCAAATTCCAATCAACAGATGGATTCCACCATAAGGAGATTCTATCGATCCACTACAAAATGAATTATACAAGCTTTAAATGAAAATGAAATTGTGTACGGAAAAATACGAAAAGAAGAAGAAAAATCTCTAGACTAAATTCAAGCAAGAAAGAGAAGAGATCCTGAAGAAGGATGAGGCTATGATTCAAGAATTGGATGTGGATCCTTCGTCTCGTCGGGAACGTATTCATGCAGCATCATCATGAGATGATCACTTTCAACCGGGGAAGAATTTGATATAGGCAAAGGAGGGGCAATTGATTTTGGGTTGATGTTTGGGCTGTCCTCTTTGGTGAGCTGTTATGGCCTATACTAAAATCAGCTCATTAATATGTAATTACTGCCAAATCAGGTTCATTCCCTCCTTCTCCCCCTCTTTGCTGCCCGTTCGGTTCCACTACTGGCTCGTCCCGTGGCTTTTCCTCTCCACGTGGCTGCCCATTTCAGTTCCCTGTGGGCACTCGTTCCTGTCTCCCGTGGCTGCCTTTTCATGTCCCCCTTGTGGCCCTTAGGGTGCTGCTCCTGGACCGCTTGCTGGCCTTCTGTTTCCCCTTTCCTGGTTGGTTCGGCTGGATTTGTTTTAGGTTGTTTGGCTGCCTCTTTTTACCTATAAATATGTGATGTTTTGAAGTTTAAAAAGATAGATTATGTGATAATTTTTTGGACAGCAAAACCTGCAGGTTTCTCCTGGGAAAAGCTTGCGAGGTTGTTCCATTTCTCTTCTCTTCTACGATTTTGCCTCGGGTTTCTTATCTCTTTCTTCTCTCCGCAAGTGACCATCTCATTTGTATCTTTCTTTTCAAGGAAATGCGGTTTTAGGTGTTATCTTTATGATAAGTTTAAGTTTTATGAGAGTTGTATGGTGCTGAAATATTTTATGATATAAGCTTCTTTTGGTGTTATTTGTATTTTTTCATTTTGTGGTATGTTAAAAGGAAGACCTAGTTCTTATGTATCTTTGCGATCTTTTGATCGCATCACCTAATGTCCAATTTAGTCTATTCCCCCAAATTTGATCCAAATTAATTTCTCAACGCCTTGGATCTGATCCAAAATAATCTAACATATGGATTATTCTGAATCATATATGAGGAGCTAAAGGACTAAATTGAACACATTTATAGCTTGTAACCAAAGTGGCCTTATACAAACACTTCAGGGATCATTTTAACATTTTTTTTTCTCGTTTCCAAAGTATTATGTTGATCCATTACTTGATTTACTCTCATTTGGTATTAATTTTCTGACAATTTTTCTAATTATGTTTGCAATGCAATCAAAACTTCCATTTCCTTGGTGATCCATTTATCATTCTTGATATTGATTTCCACTTTTGATTGGCAAAATTTGTGTTCTTTTACCAAATTTAGATTTTCATAGAAACAAAGTCAAAATTCATAGTTTCTCAACTTTTAATTTTGGCTAAAATTTGTCTTTTTTAATATAAAACTAGAAAACATGTTTTAAGTCGCTCTATGTGATAATTTAGAAGTCGTCCAATTCAAAAAATTCGCAAGAAAAGAAATCTAAGAACAAATAAAACCCTTACAACAATTTAGAACTCACTATATAATGGAAACCGGTATGTAACGAACGTGGCTAAATATCTAAGCCTCATGCAAGTACTAGAATGTGCAATCCTGCAGAATTTATTACGACATGCTACGTTCCTAAAGAATTCGCATCCAATACCGCAACCAAGTTTGAGAGAGAAATGAAAATTTTATTTTAAAGTTATATTAAAATGCATGCCTCAAACATCTTATTTATAATTTGAAAGACCCTATGCCATTGTTTTTGCAGAATCCTTAGATCTGGCTAAAATTACAAGGAATAATCTCAAAATTTCAACCCACACATGAAGTATTTGATTCACTGCTGATGGAAGGTCGCTGTTTTTTTAGAATAGGAAACATGCAACCGAAGGTAGCTGTACTTGAAATGTCGTGTAAACTGTAAAGGAAAATATCCATCATATGCAGTAGTAGCTACAATAAAGTAAACCATAAGCCACTGACTGTTGCGACTACACAAGGAAAACCATCACAAGGAGCAGAATGCGGGAAGGAAAAAAATTAGAGCAGCCATAGTAATCAATACAACTCCAAGTAGGCAGCTAGAAAGTAATAGGGAATCAGAAGCGTTGAAGCTGAATCAAAATACTTGCAACAGTAACCAATATCACCAAGGTGCTCAAAACCCTAAGAGAACACATCCTGTTCTTATTGTCATCAACATCATAGGCACGCTACATTTAAAAACAAACTATAAAATAGATAAATGTGAAATGTGGAGCAGTAAAAATCAGAATGTTATTTTGCTCGTCTAATGCTCCTTGTTATTTCAAATTTTCAGAGTTTTCCTAAACTTAGCAGGGATCAATTACGTTGTATTTATGAATTTATTTATAGAGTTCTGGTCCGGTTATTTTTATGCATGGAAAGGATAGTCAAGAACATCCCAATTCATTAGGGTTCAGGACCAATGCTGGTGAAAGGCTGTCATCTCTCATCAATACTGCCTACATGGATGCTTTAGCATTTCCTGTTTTTAAAAGAAAAAAAAAATCATATTAATCACTTGTTTTTAGTTAGTTTACTTGATTAAATTAATTGGTTGTTAAATTGGATTTTTGTTTAGTTTACTTGTTTATTTGGCATAGGTGGAAATTAAAAGAGATGAGCAGCAGAAAGAAGTCCGTATATTTTCTGATGCTGGGAGAATCCTAAGGCCTCTAGTTATTGTTGAGAATCTGAAGAACGTGAACAAATTTAAAGGAGGATTTACCTCTTTCCAGTCTCTTATGGATGCAAAAATTATTGAACTCATAGGTGTGGAAGAGGAAGAGGACTGTCGAACTGCATGGGGAATAAAGTATCTTTATAAGAAGGATGAGAAGCAGCCAATTGTTAACTATACCCATTGTGAATTGGATCTTTCATTCCTTTTGGCTTTGAGCTGTGGGATCATTCCATTTGCTAACCATAATTTTGCAAGAAGGGTCCTCTACCAGGCAGAAAAACATTCTCAGCAAGCAATTGGCTTCTCAACAACCAATCCTGATATCAGAGTGGACACTCTGACCCACCAGATGTACTACCCACAGAAGCCACTTTTCAGAACTTTGACAGCTGAGTGTCTGGGTAGGCCTGATTACTGTTTGGGGAAGGGCCATTTTGTAAGACCTGAACTTTTCAATGGTCAAAATGCTATTGTTGCAGTAAATGTTCACCAGGGATATAATCAGGAAGATTCATTGGTTATGAATGAAGCTTCCTTGCAAAGAGGTTTGTTCCGTACTGAACATTTTAGGAGCTACAAAGCTGATGTTGACAATAAAGAAAATTCTGTGCGTCTTAAACCAAAAGACAAGGTGGACTTTGGTAAAATGCAAAGCAAAAAGGGTCGTGTAGACAGCCTTGAAGATGATGGTCTGCCATATGTTGGTGCAAGCCTAAATAGTGGAGATATTGTTATAGGGAAGGTTGCGGAGTCTGGAGAAGATCATGGTGTAAAACTGAAGCACACAGAGAAGGGTATGGTACAAAAGGTGTTGCTTTCTTCGAATGATGAAGGAAAGAACTTTGCGGTTGTGACGTTGAGACAGGTTTGTTTTATTTTGGTATATTTAATACTACACTTCACTGGGAATTTATTTAATTTTTCTGACCGTGCGTAGATATGAGTGATCATGGACTCTCGAGGGCTTCATAATTTCTGCAAAATTCCTCTCTCATGTTTTGAATAAGTTTGCTTTAGCATTTGTCATAAACAGACGCTGAGACTGGTTTGTTTGCTTTTGGGATTACTTAATACTGCCCTCTGCCGGGAATTTATTTAATTTTTCTAACCTTGCATGGATATGAGTGACCAGGGACTCAAGGATTTCATAATTTCTGGAAAATTCCTCTCATCTTAGGATTAAGTTTGCTTTATGTAGCAGAATCTTGGATCTTGTAATCCTTATTACAAGAGGGAGGGCATGGTGCAGTGAGTAGATTGCCTCCATCAAGCTTCATGGTTTTAAATCTGTCACTCTCCATAGTAAATACATATGATTGTTGATTTTATACAATTCAACTAGTTTAGTCAAGACAAAGACATCTTTCATATCCTAAATGAGAAAATGATCAAAATTATCCATTGACTCTATGAAATATCAAAATGGTCCCCACTATATTAAAAAATCATTTTGTTCCCTCAAGTTTTTAAAGGAATTAAAATAGTCTCATGGTGAGACTATTTTGATTCCTCTTTAAAGAGTTGAGAGATCAAAATTGTCATTTAATATAGTTAAGATTATTTTAGTCTTTTACAGAGTCAATGGACCATTTTGGTCATTTTCTCTAGCCTAAACAAGATGAGTTGAATTGAGCTGCAAAGGAGATGAATCAAATTAAAATTTTAAGCCTTTTTTGCCCATATTTAATTATGACCCAATTTTATCGGATTTTTAATAGATTTATTTTATTGTGTTGAATTATCCTTTTGAATAATCTTGAACTTGATTTTGATTATCTTATTAGATTGGATTTAGTTTAGGATAGGATTAAATTTGAGTTCAAATCTTTGACCTTATTTTTGTTGCTATTTTATTTTTGTTACTCTATTTATATAAGTTGGGTGACAATGCCTTGTATTCAAATTAGTGGTTGATTGAATATTAATTTTAGATGAATAAAGTTATTTATAAACTAATGGCTTGTTTTATATCCATATTATGTAGGTGAGTCACTTTCATGTTCATGGGATTTGAAAGCATTTATGAAGTCAAGTGATTGCTTCTTTCAACTCTCTTTTCAAGAATGTCTAGATGGATTTAGAGCATTATTGTTGATGTGTTTTTCGCTTTGACCCGACCCCGATCAAGACGATTCGAGCCTGGGCTGGAATCGGCTTGATCAACATGATTGATCATTGTAGAACGCAAATTGACCCAAATCGAACCTCAATTTAATTAAATTAAGCTCAATTAAATTAAATTAAAGTTAAATTGATCCGGATCGACCCAAAATTGGTCCAAATCGAACATAATCGGATCTCGCCGAGCCTCGTTGAACCAAATTCGATGCAATTCGACGCCGATTCAAGCCCAATTCCACAAATTTGGCTCGATCGGACCAATTGGACTCGAATTGCCCTAATCAATTCAAATTGGATCCAATTTGACCAATTTCAGCCTAATTAACCCAATTCAAGTTCAATTTGACCCCAAATAGGTTATATTGACTTTGTGGTCCTCTCTCATCATTTCCCCAAATAAGGAAAGACAATATGACAGCTAAAATTCAAAGTTCTCTGCTACAAGGTCTTTTCCCTCTTACTTCTGCAGCGGAAGATGAGGATATCGCAGCAGAAAATCTTATTGAACGAACGAGGCCTCGTTTCCTTTATAGAAAGGGCGAGAGGCGAGAGACGGAAGACAGGGTCATTTGACTTCATTTGTCGCGTATCCGAACGTGAGGTCAAGAAAAGGAGATGAGCTCGAGACCTGTTGTTTGCGTGCGGTTCTTCCAACCAAGAAAGAAGGAGGCGGAGACAGAAGCCCTCTTCCTCATGCGTGTGTGACCTTGCGGAGTTGGACGGCTCGGTCGGCTGGGGGTTCGGACTGAGTGGCCCTTCTGTTGTATCTTTCGCATGTGATTTACTGAGGGCAGCCAAGACCGAGCAGTAGGAGATTTCCTCTTTCGTGTACGTCTGTTGAAGCCCAACCGGACTGGATCCGAATGGAGTGGGGCTGTCGTGCGGCTTACTTTTCACGGTAGAAGAGTTTGAAGCTTTAGGTACGTTGTTCTCCCTCTCTTCTTACACTCAAGAACGGTCTAGAGGTTTCTTCCACTCCTTTTTGCAAGTCCGACAAGTTTGGAACCGCAAAGCGGCATATGGAAGCCTTCAAACATGGAGGACAATAGCTTTAGAGCACTTTGGACAGCTGACTCTGCTTACGGAGGAGCTTGGACAACAGCTCGTCGCTTCAATCTCGCTTTTGAGAAGGCGAGTGGATTGTGGGTCCGGTTGTGACAACTCGGCATGGTAAACTTCTCAATAACTTAGTGAAACCTAGGTCCCTAATCCCGTTGATGTGTGTTTGATGCTCCAAATGCTTTCGGTCCCTAGAAAACCTCGCTTTTACTTTTCAAACCCAAAGAAAATCCTTTGTATGTCATTGTCCACTTGTTTAAGTCATGGAAATCAAGTAATTTCCCATGACTTGCTCTCATGTGGAGCCAAAAGGACGGCAGCAAGGCACCGGGTCGTTGGACTTGTGTTCAATGCCTATATCTTGCATGTAATGCATTCATGTTGTGTCCAATACCTTCACCTACTACTAAACTCCTAAGTTTAGGATATTTATTTGATGATAAGTTAAATGTCGAGGTGTAGACTTTCACAGTGTTGCATGCTTTGTACCATCTCTTAGATTTGTATGTTATGACAAAGTTAACACACAACTATAGGAGCTCACATTTAATGAAACTTGTGAATTTTTTATGGTTTTGTTGAATGTCTAAAATGCGTTCGATTGTTTGGAAAATCAAACAAGTTGTCGTAGGATTTTTTACATTAATCCCCAAAGATTTATTTTGTGCAAATCCTAGAACAAATAAAACTAATCAAACTCATCTTGGGTATTTTACAAGTCTCATAGGGATGATAACAAATAACCCTTCACTCTAATTGGCAAGTTAATTGGCCACAGGCAACAACAAATGACTTGGATATTTGTTGGCATCCTAAAATGACATGTCCACACATGCATATTCTCTTAGGTTCCTCTTAGATCACCCTAAAATTGATCTTTGGAATCCATTTAGAAGCTTTCAAATGAGCCATTCCCTCTTTTTAACGTATCCGAACATTCTTAGAGGGATGGGGAGTTCTCTTTCTCATGCACATCCTCTTCATGCATGATATTTGGAGTTTCCGCAAAACTCCAAGTGTTATATTGCATGAATCTTGTGACCTTAGGATCAAAATCATAGTTTCATTCCATCCCTTGTTTGTTGAAGCACAAGATCAACAAACAACACTCTCTCTTTTCTCATGTATAACTTTTGGAGCCACCCCAAGGCTCTAAATATTTTATATATGAATTGTTGGAGCTTGAAATCAAACTCCAAGTCATCCACGTCATTTGTTGAAACATAAACTCAAAAGATAATCATGTACATTTTCCTTCATGCATGATATTTGGAACCCCCTCAAGGCTCCAAATGTTTCATTGCATGACTCCTACCATTCGTTAGGAGTTGCTACCAATCTTCCTCGTATTTTGTATTATGGATTTCTCTAAAATCCTAAATACATCATGTTGTAAAATTCCTGAACTTGAGACCAAATCTTGAGTTCTTCGCATCCTTTTATTTGTTGATGCATAAAATTAACAAACATACACCCATCCTGTAACTCCCCATAATATCTCTTAACAATATTGTAGAGTGTCACACAAAAGGGTGAAAGAGTATATTGATATTTTTCATGAAAAACTTTTTACGTTGCATCAAAAGGCAAGTGAAGTTTGTAATAGATAAACCAATATGAAATTGTAATGATTATTAAAGCACCAAATAGAATGGTTATTAAATATTAGAACTAAATATTCAAATATCATTGTTGATAGAGAAGGGGTGCATTAGATCCGGTACATCTCCTTGGAGTTCCCCAATTTTGTTTGTCAAGAAGATGGATATAGCGAGATTATGTGTGGTAATGAATAAGATGAAAATTAAGAACACATATCCTCTATTGAGAAATGATAATTTGTTTAATCAATTAGAGGTAGTTTTATTATTTTCTAGAATTGATATAAAATTTAGTTATAATCATGTGAGGGTGAATGACAGTGATGCTGGAAAGATAACATTTCGAATTGAGGTATGAGCATTATGAGTTTTTGAGATTGCCTTTTGGACCGGTCAGTGCTTTAGTAATATTTATGAATTTGGCGAATACAATCTTTAAGCATATGAATTTTGTCATCCTTTCACCACTAGTTTGTCATAGCAAGTTTTTCACCTCTAAGCTACTCTAACCTTTAGATTCCCCTTTGTCCTCTATCACCCTAGATTTTATTTAGGTAATTTTTCTTTATTTGACCTTGCTCGCTACATAGATAGCATCTTTCAATGTTAAAGTTAACAAATATTTCCTTGAATGAAGCTTCCCACGTGTAGCACAAACTAAACTCACAAGCTAGTTTTTCTTTGATTGATATTGTTGCCCATAAATAATTTTTTTGCTTCTTCTCAAATTAGCTGCCTCCACCACCTATTGGGCTATTTTTATTATTGTTTTCTCAATTCTATCTTACCATAATCATATCATACGCAATTAATCTTGCACTCTCTACTTAGTAAAATCCTTGTTGCAAATTGGAATCTATTGCTTTCATAATTAATCTTTTGACTCTCATAAAAATCCTTAACATTTCTCATCTGGAATACCAATCAGCTCTGGAGCATATTTAGATAATCATATAAATTTGCCTTATATCGAGTTATTATCTTTGATGCTTGGGTAATATTTAAAAAACTTTTATGTTTTCATGTCTTATTGAAGAGGAACAAATCAATTGCTGAAAACTTGCTTGAACTTAATCAAAGTGATCTGCTCCATAGGTTCTCCTTCAAATTTTCCAAATGTTAGCCTCTTCGCCTAGTACAAAGAAATATAAGATTTTGTTTTGAATTTTTATTTTTACTTTCTTTAATATTTAGTTATTTATGTAATGAGTTTGTCCATCCATAAAAGAATGATTGGTTCCTCCCCTGAGAAGGAGGGCGGTTGCCTTATATTTGAAGTCCACATTTATGTGAAGTTGTTTGCTTATGTCCGCTAAGCATGAAAAATGTGAGGTGAAAGCAGTAGCAAAAGATTATATCCAACAATGCCATCATAAATGTCATTATATGGAATAAAGTTAGATTTTGAAGGGGTTTTAAGTAAAAAAAATAAAATTTATGCAAGTTTGATTTGAACGAAAGTGAATTATAGATGCTTCTTTTTTTCTCGCAAATATTTATAAATTATCCCTTAGTGCTTCAAATAACTTCGTATGATTTTCCTTTCATTTTCAATTCTTAGCTCTGCTTTCTACCACTTAGTGTTAGCACGGTGCCCAGACATGTTTTAGCTCGAGCATTCAAAATCCTGAAATTAATTTCAGGTTTTGAGTTTTAAACCTCCTCCCTCTCCCTATAAGCCGCCGGCCACCTTCATTGGCTTCCCCTCATTAACCCCCATTAAATGCCTTAATTGCTTGATTTGAAATTTAAAATTCAAATCAATTTTCCCTCCAAACTTAATCAAATCTGAAATTAATTCAGATTTTTTATTAATTCCCTAAAGCTAACCTCCCAAACCTAATTCTCTCCAAACCCAAGCTCCCTCCTCCTTGCACCCGTCGGCCTCACCTTCTCCCCTTGAGAAGATGTCGTCCCCTTCCCCATCCTCCTCCTCCTTCTTCCAAAGCAAGGACTCTCCATCACCTTCACTTAGTTCCCCTCTCCTTGAAGAATTCTCCACGCCAAGCATGTATGGCGGACCCGGAGTTTGAGTGGGGACTAGTATTCAACGCCGACGGAAGCATTAATATCCTACGATCTCCGTGCTTTGACGTAGGATTTGAAGACGACGCCACCGTTGAAGAATATTTGGAGCGAGTCGTCCCGATTCTTGTGAGCATCATCGACCGACAATTCTCAAGCTAGGATTGGAGCGTCGACAGTCAAGCATTCACGCTATCCTCGTCACCGTCAACCTTTCCGTGGTTCAAGGCCATTGGTGTTGCCATCGTCTTCGTGGCTTCATTGAGTTTGCTAAAGGCCTTCTCCCGCTAAGCCCGACTTGAGTGTGAGTGAGCAAGGTAACTCGTTGTGAACTTTCTAGACATTAGCCGTGGGACTTTATTATTTTCTGCATTTGCTTTATTGCGATACTTTTGAGATCCATCATTAATTATGTCTAAACAACTAGTTTGTAATTGCTTATCATAACATTTTGATAACGGAAAATTTCTTGAATCTTAACCTACGATACTCTAATCTTATATTGGTAAACTTTGTGATTCGTAATGAGTTTCATGTGCAATTCTTGAACGTATCACATCAGTTAGCCTCTTCGCCTAGTACAAAGAAATATAAGATTTTGCTTTGAATTTTTATTTTTACTTTCTTTAATATTTAGTTATTTATATAATGAGTTTGTCCATCCTCAAGGTTCCTTCTCTGAGAAGGAGGGCGGTTGTCTTATATTTGAAGTCCACATTTATGTGAAGTTGTTTGCTTATGTCCGCTAAGCATGAAAAATGTGAGGTGAAAGCAGTAGCAAAAGATTATATCCAACAATGCCATCATAAATGTCATTATATGGAATAAAGTTAGATTTTGAAGGGGTTTCAAGTAAAAAAAAAAAAAATTATGCAAGTTTGATTTGGAAGAAAGTGAATTATAGATGCTTCTTTTTATCTCGCAAATATTTATAAATTATCCCTTAGTGCTTCAAATAACTTCGTATGATTTTCCTTTCATTTTCAATTCTTAGCTCTGCTTTCTACCACTTAGTGTTAGCACGGTGCCCGGACATGTTTTAGCTCGAGCATTATTAATTTCGGTAATATTTTTTCTTCACATAAATGCTCTTAAATGGTTGAAGTTTTGTTCTCTTGTTAGGTGAAATCTCGACTATGCATGATTTGGAGGGTGATGGGTTGTCTTTCATTTTAACTCTGCATATACGGTTCGTTTTTTGCTCATGTTAATTAAGTAAGAAAAAATGATGTTGTGGATCGTTGGAAGAACATACCTGCTAGAAGGAAAATACAAATTGGAGACCAACCCAAGCCTAAAGCTTCAAAATATCATATATCCATCATCCTTTCCTACTACAATACAAGCATGTATAAACTAGCCATATAATATTCTAGACTTTCAATGTAAAAAACATATAACAACTAGATAAATTATTCCTAACGATAACTTTAGCTAAGATGTTCTACGTCAAAAAAGGTTTGGTGAAACCATTAAAAAAAAGGTCTGCTTTGAATAGCTTAATTTCTGATGATGTATTTTTCTGATTCTTTCTATAACTTTATCACCATTAACATGATAATAGCTTATTGTTATTCATGTGCTTAATGGTCGAAGGTTCGTTCTCCTCGGTTGGGGGACAAATTCTCAAGCATGCATGGCCAGAAAGGTGTCATTGGTTTACTAGAGCACCAGGAGAATTTTCCTTTCACTCGCCAAGGCATAGTCCCTGATATTGTCATCAATCCACATGCCTTCCCAACCCGTCAAACACCAGGTCAGTTGCTTGAGGCTGCTCTTGGGAAAGGAATTGCCTGTGGAGGATCAGCAACTTATGCTACTCCTTTCTCTACCCCCTCAGTTGATATTATATATGATCAGCTGCAACGGTAAGATGCAATCCAATTACTTCCTGTGAGAAAAGTATATGTTTTTCTTTATGAAGTTCATGAAAAGTTAAATTGCTGGCCTGTTTGGTAAAGTCTGCAACTTGAGGTCAAATTTATTGCATTTGCACTCTATTTGTTTTAATTACAAAGTTATAAGTTTCCAGTTTCCACAGCACATACCTTTCTTCATTACAACATTCCTTGACCTTGGCACCTTTTGGATTCAGGTCTGGTTTTTGTAGATGGGGAAGTGAAAAGGTCATAAATGGCCGCACTGGGGAATTTATGCAGAGTATGATCTTCATGGGCCCCACCTTCTACCAAAGACTTATACACATGGCAGAGGACAAGGTGAAGTATCGAAACACCGGCCCGGTTCATCCACTCACCCGGCAGCCAGTGGCTGACCGGAAGAGATATGGTGGTGTTAAGTTTGGAGAGATGGAGCGCGATTGCTTACTCGCTCACGGCGCAGCTGCCAACCTCTATGAACGAATGTTCACCCTCAGTGATTTCTCCCATATGCACATATGTCAGACCTGCAAGAGGGCTGCAAATGTGATACAGAGGCCGGTGTTGGGCGGCCGAAAGATCCGAGGACCTTACTGTGTCTTCTGCAAATCAGCAGAAAACATTGTAAGAATCAATGTTCCATACGGTGCAAAACTTCTGTATCAAGAACTTTTCAGCATGGGTATCTGCCTCAAGTTTGAAACAGAGCTTTAAGATGTTCAGCTAAGCTTCCTAAACTGGAATTTGGGATTTTGTATTGTGCTTTGGATGTTATAGTTCTGCTGATATTATATTATGTATAGCCAAAATGGTGATCTACATATGCTGTACTACTTTGCATCTGGTAGTTGTTCAAGTTCATCCTTCTTTCTGTGGTGGCAGTTCTTCATCTGTTGTTTACATGGATTAATGGTGGGAATGTTAGGTTTCAAATGCTTATAGGAAGTCATGGCTTTGTTGAATCTTTCTTCTGCTTCGTTTCCTGGAAGTAAATGGTAAGAATGCCTGATTTCTCGCTTAGCTGATGCTCATACGATTCTAATCAATGCAGAATTATTCTTTTACTCATATGAGTATCGATAATGATTGAATTTGGCATTCGTATCATTTCTCTTCCTGAAACATTATAGCTCAGTTTTCTTTCATTCAGTCAGGGGCCTGAAAGGGATGAAAATCCTCTACCCTCTGAGAAATTATTCGTGCGGTCACCAGATGGAGTCCAGAGGCGAATCAGGATGCGCTACGTTATTTTTTTTGTTGTATATTGGTGTTGTGTAACATTATATATTGGGTGATGCGGCTCATCCTGATTCACCTCTGAATCATCATGTGATCACACAAAATATTTTCTCCTTCCCTCTGGTGTTATCATTGCACTTATTATTGATTAAAATTATTGATGATACAACATTTTTTTTATTTTAAGTACAATAGAATAATGTGATTAGAATGCTTAATATAGAATATTTTAATATGTATTGATAACATGTGATTAAAAAGGAAACAAATATAACATTATGTAAGTTTAAAATAAGTTATTTCAAGTACTTGATTTATATATAATATAACATTTATGTGTATGACATAACATATGTGCAAATGAAAAAGAAAATTGAAAATGGTTGGAAGTCATTGTAAAGTTCTGTTCAGTACTTGATATAAATGTTATGGTAAAAAATATATTAGAAAATTAACTTATCAAATTTGATTAATTAATTTTTTAGTTTAATTGATAATAAAAGCCTCCTTTATCTTAGAGGCATAAATGGAGATTGTTAATCTATAATATTGATCAAATGATTTTTCTAACATAATTATGGCAAAGCTAAAGCTCTAAATTCACTATCTTATTAAATAATACAAACAATGAATACATGCCAAAAAAGAAAAAGAAATTGAAGTTAGAAAAAATGAGTTGACTTGGACTTGGTTGTATTTTTGCTACCTCCTCTTCTCTCTCACAAAGAATTGAGATGCTTAAATTCTTCTTCATAATCTTAATTATGAGAGGTTGAGTAGGAGTATGTATAATGGGATTATGAACATCATCAGCTCCATGTAGTAGCTTAGGATTTACAATACCCTGCAAAAATAAGAAAGAAAAAAAATATTAATACCTTATATACATCTCCTCATCACCTCTTTATATTCCTATGGCATAAGAAAATTAACAATTACATCTTCACTCATGAGCTATGGCTAAAAATTCTTGTTGTGACCATCTTGTTACATTTCTAGCTTGACATTCTTGGTACTCTATCGCAAAGCAACTCTTCGCATCTTTTCCTCGCATATGGAATGAATTTGTAAGTCCAATACTACAGTGATACTTTATATTTGAGCGGTTATAGCATACTTGGCTATGCCACAATTCTTTTCTAAATTTATAATAGTGCATCCTTCACATCTTTAGCACTCAGTGTGTCACTCTTATAACATTCTACCCCAAGTGTATCGACAAAATGCATCATCATTTGCAACGATAAGAATCATATCATTACAACGAAGATATCACTATGCTTATCATAATTAAGAAGGACACCATCTATAAAGAAGTATTACTCAAGTTTCCATAAATAATATTGGTTAGTATAATTCATAAGACAATTTTTAAGGTCTCCATAAAAAAAAACTCTTAAACAAACTTGCTACTTATATTCATTTTTTAAACTTGATACATTTTAAAATACATGAAGGCTTAACCCGGTCACTAAAATCAACAACAATATAAAAAGTCTTATTTCTTCTCTCAAATGTTGAATGCAAAGGAGTACTCACATTTTCATCATCATTAACCATCCTCAATAATAACTTATGAATGAAGGCATAAAAGAAACTAAATTTTAGGAGCTATAAAGAAGTGTCTAAAGGGAGATCCCTCAGTTGGGAAATCATATTATTGGTCTAAAAAAATTTAAGTAATTTCTCCTTTGCCCCTTTAACTCTATATGTGTTCCGATAGGAATAACGCCTCTCAAATGACGAAACAAAATAAATCATCAAAATACAAAGTACAACAACTCCAATGTGTAAATCCTAAAATTATATTCAAACCACATTCAATAATTTGAATAACCTTGGATCATGATTGAACATTATTTGATAATTATTGAGATGTCATGATTGAGCAAAATGATTGACCTATTCGATAAGTCTTTGTAACATATACAACCCATTATTTTATAATATTTGAATACACATAAACGATTTATAGGCTTATTCGAACTTGTTCGAATCTTATTCAAACTATTGATTGAACACTCTTTCGGCCTTGGAAGATCATGTGACACAATCATAAGGCCGAGCAAATGATCAAATATGATTCATACAACTTTGGATGATGTTATAATGTGTTGAATTGATTCTAATATTGCTAAATCATTGTTTAAAGACATTATTAAAACTAATTGAATATGTCGAACATTTTTGAACTTGATCAATAAATTTTGTTCATGGCTCGAATGTTGTTAAGATTATTCAATAGTGATTTAATTATTTTTCTAACAATAAATGTGGTTAGAAGATGACTCTAACATGAAATCTACCATATAAACTTAAATCTAAGGGTTTTGAGTTTAGAGTATAAAGGCTGTTTTTTAACTTTAAAAGATAAACAAAAGAGCATCTCTAACTTTTGAAGTTGATGATTAGATAGAAAATCTTTGCTATGAATTTTTACCAAATGCTGAAAATGAATGCTTGGAAAGGTCAAATTTTAAGGGGCGTATTATTTGTTAAAATGAATATAAGGAGTGTATTTAAAAAATAATTTAAAAAGAAGCAAATTTATCAAATGATATGACACATTCAGAATACACCAAATAATTTGACATATTCTAAATGTCCTTTAAATAAATAAAATTATAGAAAGAGAGAGCGAAATATGGAGAGAGAGATAGCATGGGCCAGAGAGAAACGTGGAGAGAGAAGACGGATGAGACATACACATAAAGTGTAAGAGAGAGGTAGGAGATATTACTTTCTAGTAATATTATATAATATTATTTTAAATATTAGCACTTTAATTTATTAAATAATTATATTAAAAAATTAATTTAAATAAAAAATTATACATAAATTTATTTTAGTTTAAATTTTTTAGTCCATTTAATATAAATGCAATATTAGATAAAGATAATATTGTATTAAAAATTTAATACTTGATAAGACTAAGAGGGAGTTGAACATAACCTTGAATTATGGGAGGTTCCAACCTTAGAGTCTAAAGTTTTCGTTTGAGTAACTAAAACCGAATACATTGAGATATATCTTTAGTAGTAATGGATCTAGTGAGGGGGGGTTGTGACTTGAATGATCAAGTTATTACTAAGAGACAATTTTAGATTATCTTGGGTATATTGTTCAGAGGATGGTGAAAAAATATGATATTATTAGTAGAATTCAAGTTGGATGGAAGAAGTGAGGAATGCATCAAGCTTTGCTGTGTGATAGGAAGAAGTACCACTCAAATTTAGGGGAAAATTCCTATAAGATGGTGGTTTAGACACACTAGACCTGTAATGCTTTATGGCGCAGAAAGTTGCGGCATCAAAAGAGAAGCATAATATTAGTTAAGTAGCAGATATGAGGATAATCAGATGGGATGAGCGGCTTTATACTCTTAGAGACAAGATACAAAAGAGCATATATGTTTGATGGCAATCAAAAATTTGTGGGGAGGACCCAAATTTTTTATTCACAAAAAACAAACTCTTCTAAGAACGAAAATAAAGCATAAAATACTTCAAAAGACACTTTCTATATTAATATAAAGAAACTTACAAATATAGACACTTACTTGACGACCACTTACAACTTTGAAACTTACAAATGAACTCAAACAATGACACCCTATAGTTGCTTCCAATAGAGAGAAGGAACTGATGGATGGCACTTTGCGGATAGAAGAAAGACGATTAGAAGTCAAGACGTAAGGTTGGAAGAGCCGCAGGATTGTCCGAATGAGGTGAAGAGGACAAAGTTCGCAAGCTTTTCCAACAACAAACCCGCATGTTTTATCTCAAAATCACATTATTCACATTTCTTAACAGCCACCAAAACAAGTCTAACTATATATAGCATAAAGAGGATACAAATAGCCATTTAACCACTATTAATTAATTAAATGGATTAAATGAAAGACAAAGAATTCTGTCCAGATTTTTGTACAAGAATCTGTCAGAAATCTTTTAGTCCCTAAAGCAGCCCCAAAAAAACTCTTCATTCCACTCATAAATGGGTATTAAAAGGCCAACATATGTTCATTTCAGAAAATCCCAAACGGCACCTCAAAATTCAAGAGGTGGCCACGGTTCCAGCACAGAGAAACCCCAAACGGCACAGCAAATCCAAGGAGGGAATTTCGGTCCAAAGCCAAGCACAAGAAACAACAGCACCATAATTCATGGTAAAGGGGGGGAAGTTTACGGCATAAATGAGGGCAGCAGCAAACCGTGAATGAATAAAACCGAGAAGAAAAACTCAGCAGCTCAAGGGTCAAAAGGGGCAAGGAAAAGGCAATATAATTAGTTAGAAAAAGAGGGAGAATAAAAGCCAATGTTTAAGAAAGTAATGAGTAATTTTTGCTCAAAAGTATTATGAGGCTACAGCCCACAGAGTCAAAACCAAAATATTCATTTTTGTTTGACCCCCCCCGCCCCCCTTGCAATGCATCATATGTGAAAAGTTGGAGTAGCTGCAGTGACAGATAAGATTAGAAAGGAGTCATCTTAGATGATTTGTCACATAAACGCGGCCATTTGGAACCAAGTTAGGAGAGTAGATTTTAGATTTAACCTATGTTAAGAAAAGTAGATGTAGACTTAAAAATGGCTTGGTTATAAACTATTAGAAATGACCTTCTTTATTAGATCTA